TCCTAGAACAGAGCTGGCCCTTCGGATCACCCTGTTCAGTCTCTTCCTGTCCCCAGCAGAGATGCTGCCGCCCCAGCAGACCACGCCATAAAAGATAGCAGAAGCCACAACAGAGTCATAGAATTTCTTCAGGAGTGGGCCCTCCACTCCAAACGACCTGAGTCTCCGCAGCAGGTACAGCCTGCTCTGCCCTTTCCTGTAGAGGGCATCTGAGTTATGAGTCCAGTCCAGTCTATTGTTCAGATGAACACCAAGGTACCTGTAGCTGTCCACAGCCTCAATGTCCATACCTTGGATGTTCAGTGGTTACTAGTTACTGTGTTGCTGTTATTTGGAACAAGCCGCCGAAATAGCATTGAAAGAGTTTTATTCTCACAGTCTTACAGTTAACGATGCTCTCCGAGTGTGTGTTAAGTTTTGTTTTCATTCCATTCAAGCTAACAGTAGCCATTGTCGGGCTACAGTTTATTTCTTTTGTTAATCTTTTAATAACATTGAGTTAACATGTAATAAACTATTCTATAAAGATAAAATTGACACTGGCATACGAAGGCCATAAAAACATGCAAAGCTTTGAAAATGATCTCTGTAACATATTAAGTAGTGGAGTAAACATACAATAATGGTGAAATGTAAGGTAAACACAATACGGAAATAAGCAGAGAAATACAGGGAGTAATAATACTAATAATAATAATGGATTGGATTTATACAGCGCTTTTCATGGATCCATGGATTCTGTCCGTGTTTTGATCTGTTCACCATCAACATTGCGTGCAGCAGCAACCACAGCCTCCCAGACACTGTTCAGAGAGGTGTACTGTTTTCCCTCCTTGTAAATCTCACATTTGATGATGGACCACAGGTTCTCAATGGGGTTCAGATCAGGTGAAAAAGGTGGCCATGTCATTAGTTTTTCTTCTTTTATACCCTTTCTTGCCAGCCACGCTGTGGAGTACTTGGACGCGTGTGATGGGGCATTGTCCTGCATGAAAATCATGTTTTTCTTGAAGGATGCAGACTTCTTCCTGTACCATTGCTTGAAGAAGGTGTCTTCCAGAAACTGGCAGTAGGACTGGGAGTTGAGCTTGACTCCCAGTCCTACTGCCTGAAAAGGCCCCACAAGCTCATCTTTGATGATACCAGCTCAAACCAGTACTCCACCTCCACCTTGCTGGCGTCTGAGTCGGACTGGAGCTCTCTGCCCTTTACCAATCCAGCCACGGGCCCATCCATCTGGCCCATCAAGACTCACTCTCATTTCATCAGTCCATAAAACCTTAGAAAAACCAGTCTTGAGATATTTCTTGGCCCAGTCTTGACGTTTCAGCTTGTGTGTCTTGTTCAGTGGTGGTCGTCTTTCAGCCTTTCTTACCTTGGCCATGTCTCTGAGTATTGCACACCTTGTGCTTTTGGGCACTCCAGTGATGTTGCAGCTCTGAAATATGGCCAAACTGGTGGCAAGTGGCATCTTGGCAGCTGCACGCTTGACTTTTCTCAGTTCATGGGCAGTTATTTTGCACCTTGGTTTTTCCACACGCTTCTTGCGACCCTGTTGACTATTTTGAATGAAACGCTTGATTGTTCGATGATCACGCTTCAGAAGCTTTGCAATTTTGAGACTGCTGCATCCCTCTGCAAGATATCTCACTATTTTTGACTTTTCTGAGCCTGTCAAGTCCTTCTTTTGACCCATTTTGCCAAAGGAAAGGACGTTGCCTAATAATTATGCACACCTGATATAGGGTGTTGATGTCATTAGACCACACCCCTTCTCATTACAGAGATGCACATCACCTAATATGCTTAATTGGTAGTAGGCTTTCAAACCTATACAGCTTGGAGTAAGACAACATGCATGAAGAGGATGATGTGGACAAAATACTCATTTGCCTAATAATTCTGTAGCCTGATGTGTTTCACCGAATCATGGCTGCACCAGGTCATTCCCGATGAGAATGCTTCCGTGGAAGGCTTCCACACTGTTCGGGCGGACAGGGACAGCATTGCTAGCGGTAAGCGTAAAGGAGGTGGGCTTGCTGTTTTAGTTAACAACCGGTGGTGTAACCCTGCCAACATAACAATCAAAGAAAGGATTTGTTGCCCGGACACTGAACTGTGTGCTGTTGGACTCAGGCCGTATTATTTACCCAGGGAATTCTCTCACGTCATCTTGGTGGCTGTTTATGTTCCCCCCTCTGCTAACCCCACAGCTGCATGTGACACTATCCACTCTGCCATAGCTCGGCTACAGACTCAGCACCCGAGTGCCTTTATTGTGATCTCGGGTGACTTCAACCATGTATCACTGGACAATACACTACCAACATTCAAACAATATGTGGACTGTCCCACCAGGGGAGAGAAAACTTTAGACTTACTGTATGCTAACGTCAAGGATGCATACAGCTCCTCCTCCCTCCCCCCACTTGGTAGGTCAGATCATAACCTGATTCACCTCACCCCCCGCTATGTGCCAATTGTGAGGAGGGAACCTGTGACCACCAGGACTGTTAGGAGGTGGTCAGAGGAGGCAATAGCGGAACTACAGGGCTGTTTCGAGGTGACCGACTGGGAAACACTCTGTGAGCCTCACGCCGAGGACATCAATGGGCTTACTGAGTATATCACAGACTACATAACTTTCTGCACCGACTCCATTGTTCCAGCTCAGACTGTTCATTGTTACCCAAATAACAAGCCGTGGGTGACTAAGGACATCAAAGCCCTCCTCAACAACAAGAAGAGGGCTTTCAGAGGGGGCAACAAAGAGGAGGTGAGGAAGGTCCAGGTGTTACTAAAGGACAAGATCAGAGAGGCTAAGGACAATTACAGGAGGAAGCTGGAGTGGAAACTCCAGCAGAACAGCATGAGAGAGGTGTGGAGGGGCATGAAGACCATCACTGGATTCAGGCCAACCAACAGCAGGGGAGCTGAGGGAGGTGAGAATAGAGCCGATGAGTTGAATCTGTTTTTCAATAGATTCGACACCACAGTGTCTGCTCCCACCCCCACAACCTCACCTGCAGTCAGCCTGGAATCCAGAGCCACACCACTGTGCCAGCCTCTCTCTTCACATGTTGCCTCCTGTGAGATTCCTGACACCCCTCCCCCACCCATCACCTTCACTCAATACCAGGTTGAGATGCAAATGAGGAGACTTCACTCAGGCAAGTCTGCTGGACCAGACGGAGTGAGTCCCCTTGTCCTCAAGGCCTGTGCCCCCCAGCTGTGTGGAGTCTTTCATAAACTGTTTATGCTGAGTCTGAGTCTGCAGAGGGTCCCGGTGATGTGGAAGACATCATGCCTCGTCCCTGTACCAAAGACGCCTCGTCCCAGTGGCCCCCAGGATTACAGGCCCGTGGCACTGACCTCCCACATCATGAAGACCCTGGAAAGGCTCATCCTGGACCAGCTGCGACCCATAGTAAGACCACATCTGGATCCCCTTCAGTTCGCTTATCAGCCTCGTCTCGGAACAGAGGACGCCATCATCTACCTGCTCAATCGTGTCTACACCCATCTGGACCAGCCGGCGAGCACTGTGAGGGTCATGTTTTTTGACTTTTCCAGTGCTTTCAACACCATCAGGCCGACCCTCCTGGGTGATAAGTTAGCAGCGATGCAGGTGGATGCTTCTCTGGTGTCCTGGATTGTTGATTACCTGACAGGAAGACCACAATATGTACGTCTCCCACAGTGTGTGTCTGACAAGGTGATTAGCAACACAGGGGCACCACAGGGGACTGTCCTCTCCCCCTTCCTCTTCACCCTCTACACCACAGACTTCAGCCACTGCACAGAGACCTGCCATCTTCAGAAGTTTTCTGATGACTCTGCGGTGGTTGGATGCATCAGCAGGGATGATGAGACAGAGTACCGGGCTGTGGTCGACTCCTTTGTCACGTGGTGTGAGCAGAATCATCTGCAGCTCAACGTGGCAAAGACCAAGGAACTGATCGTGGACTTCAGGAAGACCAGGAAACACTTGACCCCTGTTTCAATCCAGGGGTCAGTGTTGACATTGTGGAGGACTATAAATACCTTGGAGTACACATTGACAATAAACTGGACTGGGCTAAAAACACCACAGCACTTTACAGGAAGGGCCAGAGTCGTCTCTATTTTTTGAGGCGACTGAGGTCCTTCAACATCTGCCAGAAAATGCTGAGGATTTTCTATGAGTCTGTGGTGGCCAGTGCGATCCTCTATGCTGTTGCATGCTGGGGGAGCAGGCTGAGGGTCGCAGATGCCAACAGACTTAATAAACTGATCCGTAAGGCCAGCAATGTTGTGGGGATGGAGCTGGACTCCCTCAAGGTGGTGTCGGAGAGGCGGATGCTGTCCAAGATAAAGACAATGTTGGATAACACCTCCCACCCACTCCATGACATGTTGGTCAGTCACAGGAGCTCGTTCAGTGAGAGACTGAGATTACCGAAAAGCACCACTGAACGACACAGGAAATCATTCCTGCCTGTGGCCATCTCCCTGTACAACGCATCCACTTAACACACTGTTTGCTGCTACAACTACACATGTTTCTTTTCCAACTATTTATTTATGAGTGACTTATGTATGTATGTATGTATATATATGTATATATTGTACTATTCTTAGTTAGCGTATTGTCTGTCTTGTCTTAATGTTGGTTTAAAATGGAGCACTGTAACAAAAAATAATTTCCCCCAGGGATCAATAAAGTATTCTGATTCTGATTCTGATTCTGATTCTTAATTCTGCACTCCCTGTATATGATTCATATAGTAAGTCCTAACTTTTTATTGTTAACATTTTGTTTTTCTAAATGAGCGACCTTTCCTCTAGATGATAAGTGCAGAAATTACTCTTTTGGAACAGAGGCAGTGCCTTTTTTATTCATTTTGAAAAAAACAAAACAGTTATTTGTGTTTAATTTACTATGGAGAACAACTTTCATTATCAGCCCCCTGCTCCCATATTTAGAGTGAATTGTTGAAGAACACTTCTAACACAGTTCCTTCACAGCTTCAAGATGAAAAGTTTTATTTTAACAATATATCACAACAATCTTGAATCAGATCTGAAACAAAACAGACACAAGGCTCACCGATTCCCCCCCAATTTCTGATGTTATGGTTTAAAATATTAATAAAAAAGTACATCAAGGTTCTTCCATATGAAGTTTGTTTGCATGTCAGATTTTTCATTACAACTTATATATTTGACTGAATGAAGCTGACACAACACAAGCAAGATAAACACAATTTTGTCAATTAAGTGAGTATGATCTATGATTTGTGATACTAGAAAATACAATAATACAGAATTAATTTTTCACATGTGCTCATTGCAAACTTGGTCCAATCTACATGGAGATTTGACTGTGTTTAGAGATGTCTTTTTCAAAGTACATAAATGTCATCCACATAGAATTATATAACACTATATTTACATAATATATTTCTTAAAAATAAAATTGTAGATTCATATTATAAAAGGAAAAGTGGAAAAAAAAAAGCATGGACAATTTAAATAAGTCTCAGTTTGAAAAACAAAAACAAAAAACAAAATAAAAGAAAAAACAAAAGCAGTACATGGAATGACATCCTTCAGATTGCTATAACAATTAAATTAAAACACATTTAAATAAAGTAGTGATAAGATAAGCAATGATAAAAATATCAGTACAGATGAATGTAGTATTTTGTATCTCAGGCCTGTATTAGAAAACGATCAGTTGTAAACGTCACATCTTGTAAAGACAGGAGAAAATGTTTTTCTTGACAGTTTTCAAGATTTCAATAATAGATTTTCCTACCAGCTGTCATTTTAAACACACCTGTAACAAAAGCTGTGCCCTGTCCATCAGGTATAACAAAACTAGTGGCACTTCTCATTAATTTTTACTTTCAAAATGACCTAATATCCAAACTCTTTGTTTTCAAAATTATAAAATACTCCAGAAGATTGTTGTGTGGGTGGAACATGGTCAACACAGCTTCTTCTCCAGGATCTTGCTTTTATAAACGCTGAGGTAAAGAGGAGTTGTTGGGGACAAAAAAAAGTCCTGGCTTCTCTGAGTGGCTGTCACCACTTAAGGCCTTAGAATAGCTTCTGCCTGTAGTCTGTGATGGCCTTCCATAGCTTACACAAGACCCCACCTCTGTCAAGACAAACAAAATACTGTTAGCTTAAAGCACACACCAATGAATATTATACCATTTGTAAGAAACCATCAGCTGTCAACCTACTTGAAAATATCATATTTTAAATGGTTTACTTTGTACTGAGAGTAGAGAGGGACTCATGAGCACAGATCACACAGAGTTAAGACTGTACGGTCATGAAAAGGACAGTTTTCCCTGGTCTCTGTGTAATAACTAATGTTTCTGTATGACTTTATCGGTACAACATTACTTCAGTTCATCAATCTGGTTGAGGTTTGGAATTTGACTGGGCTATTGATTCCTTTCCTGCTTTTTTAGCCATTCTATTTGGGATTAAGTTTTGTGATTGGGATCATTGTCCTGTTGCATGACACAATTTCAATCAACCTGTGGGTCAGATGTGCAGACAGTAAGTTCCCCTCTAATGCAGCAACATCAGAGGGGAACACCACCCCCACCCCAAAACATACAATCACACAAAAGAGACCTAGAGATACCCTGAAGCAATTTAGTAGATATGGTGTGTATAGCTGAATGTTTGATATGACCACAGTGTGGCGCCAGATATCAAACACAACCAATAAGAACTTCATAGTAGTTTGTTTTATTCATGCTTCACTCTAAATTGAACGCAGTATAATTAGTATGCTTGGACCTGCAGTGCTGCAAAGAAACTTTAAAGAGGAGGTGAAAACTGTTGCAGTAGCAGACATCAATATTCATGTTGGTGTGACCTGTTTGAGTAATTATTCAGAGCTATTTTCATCCTAATAACATTTTAGAAGACATCGGGTTAAGCGTCACAACCTGAGCATGGCAACATAGCTACGTCCAAACCAAACTGCCCACGTTAGAACAGTATCTTACTGACCTGTGAGGTCCCTGCAAATTCAATTAAATTTTGGTTTATAAACAGATTTACAGAATTTGTGATAAATTAAGTCCTTCATAGATTAGCCTCAAAGAACTGCTGAAGTACAAAGCTGCCTTCTGAAACTTTTGTGTAAGAACAGGAAATGCAACAACACACTCCCATTATGCAACGCTCCCATCTTAACCCCCTTGTTTCTCTTCCTGTCAGGTACAAGTTTCAGCACGTATTTTGGGGACTAAATACTGAACACAAAATATGAAGCAAATATAGAAATATTTAAAAGTAAAAGAAAAAAAAATCATTTTCTACCTCAGTCTTAAACTCTTCAGATCATCTCTTGTGACATCATGAAGGATGTCGTACAATGTATACTCCTCATTGAGTATCTAAAGAAACAAAGTGGAGAAAATTACATTTACAGAAATGTTTTTCTTTACTTGCATCATCCTAAAAAGGGCTTTGTTAAAACAACAAAAAAATCAGAGACCCACCCTGTCTATGGCATCCTGGTCAGCACCGTAACGTGTCAGCCAGCTGGTCAGCTCTGGGTCGTCACGTCTCTCTGCAGGTTGGCTCCTCTGTCCCTCCAGGTCATGCGAAGATGTGGGGGTGTCTAACAGAGTAGATTTTGAGAACACTCCATAAAACAAACATTTAAACATTAACAAAACAACCAGTTTAATGACAGATCAAACATGCCGTACACACAGGAAGCGCATGTATCAGATGGACATAGCTGCTGGGTCTGGGCTTTAATCATCGTTCTTTCAAGTGGCCAGCTGGGGGGATAAAGTAAAGTAAGAATGCACAGAAATCTATGAGAAAGTATTGTGCTTCTGTTTTGGTTTTCACTTCAACAAGTAGTTTCCTAAAGAGTTTAAGTGTTTTTGGACATAGCTACCTTTTGATTGACACTCTGCTAATGTATCGTACGAGAAAAGAAACCAGATAAGACATTAAAACAGATAAAACTGAGGCTGTGAAATAGAAGGTGAACAAATAAATGATGTCCCAGTGGTTAGGTCCATATTTCACAGCAGCACTCATGTGGAACTTTTTGCCATGATTGTTTGCTTGTAAAGCAGCTTGTAAAGGTGTAACTGTTGCAGTAACAGGATATGCTGCTTTTTCTCTACAAAAAAGCAACCTTGTTGTCACAAGTCACAGTCACTATCGCTACAGCTTTGTGCAATTGTGTAAACTGAACATTTAATATTCTTAAACCTCCTTAAATGTTGCTTTCAAGGTGACGCGTACTCTTATTTGGTCAGATAAAAGCCTCTGTATAAGAGAAATGGCCACAGTGGATGACAATATCTTAATTTTAGTGTACTTTGCCTAATAATTGAGATTGTTTAAAGCTGCTCTACTAATTTCTTATAATGAGTTTTACCCTTACAGAAAAGCAACCATCATCAGTGGATATCAACCCCCCCATCACCAGCTCGGAGTTGGATATTGGAATAGCTGATCAGACCAGCAAATTAGAAGTCACTTAATTTACACCTCCGGTATGTGATAAGAAAGCTTTGTTCATGTGCATTGTTCCTGTCATGGCTTGTTTAATTTGTTTACTGAACTAGAGGGAAAAACTTTTAATTAACATTGGCTCTAGGAAGTATAAAGTACATTTTGATTTAAAAGTCAGAAGTGAAAGTCGAGTCTGTTCAGTGAGAAATAGCTGGCTTTAAAAAGTAAAGACAGACTAAAAATACCAGAAGCAGCAAAAGGAGTGTGAGAAAGTAATTCAGACTAAAGTAGAGACCTTCAGGCTCAGTTCGCAGCTTCAGTAGTCTGATCTCTTGCTCTCTCTCATCCAGCACTTGTTGCAGGATGGACTGATACTCCCTCTCCTTCTCCAGCAGCTGTTCCAGCAACCTGGAATAAAACAGAGAGATGCAGGTTAAAACGGATAAACTATGGTTAAATGAAGAAGTCCTATGCTGTTGTTAACGGCCTTCAACCAGATGCCTACCTGCTGGTCTCCAGCTTCATCCTCCCTAGCTCCATGCTCACAGAGCGCTGTGCATTGTGGGATTCGTGGGAGACGGTGGAGCTGAGTGTGCTGACTCCCGAGGTAGCCACCGTGTCATCGTGAGCGGCGCCAGGAGGCGCCCGGCTCTGGTGCGTGGAGGTTCTGTCTGGCTCGCCGTCATCATCGATGTCCTCCTGATCGGCTGCATCACTTTCTGAGGCCAGACTGAAGTGAGGCCTGAGTTCTGCATGCAGAGAGAAAGAATCACTTTTAGAGGAAGCCCTGTAATAAAAGTGATCATGAGAGGTTGTCTGAATTGTTAATTCCAGAGACTGAAATCAGTTGTGTTTATTTGATTAACACAATGCCGTTTCATTAAAGTGCCCAAATGTGAAAAACTGAGGCTTATTGTTGAAATTGCACTTTCTATTTTTTTTCTCAAGATATTAAAAGAAAACATATCAAGAAAGCATTCTACTTTTTAACACTTTTTTTAACAACAATATTTTTACTGTTTCAGCCCCTTAAGAACAAAGTGGGCTCTGTGTAGCCAAAGAACTAAAATGAGCGAAACACCCCTGGATTGTTTCAGACTGTTTCTTTACCAATAATTTGTTTACTAAAATGAAAATGTCAAGATTTTCTGTTTCAAGTAGTCACTCAGATTTGCTTTCCACTGTTATCTGTTGGTTCCTTCTTTTTCACCTCAACTTAGGTAACAGCTGTTATCTTTAACCTCATTTAATTGATAATTTCCACCACAAGGAGACGCAAAGTGCTGACTCTGATGAGTAAAGCTGTTTGTGTCAGATATCATTTAATACCAATACTGATATTTTGCATCAGTATTAATAATGCATTGAAAAGGGATTTGTACACCATATTGCTGTACACACACACACACACACACATACATACACACACACACACACACACACACACACACACACACATATATATGTATATATATACACACACACATATATATATATATATATATATATATATGCCATCTTTAAGAAGGGGGACCGGAGGGTGTGTTCCAACTACAGGGGGATCACACTCCTCAGCCTCCCTGGGAAAGTCTATGCCAGGGTGCTGGAAAGGAGAGTTAGTCCGTTAGTCGAACCTCGGATACAAGAGGAACAATGCGGTTTTCGTCCTGGTCGCGGAACACTGGACCAGCTCTTTATCCTCTCCAGGATACTTGAGGGTGCATGGGAGTTTGCCCAACCAGTCTACATGTGTTTTGTGGACTTGGAGAAGGCATTCGACCGTGTCCCTCGGGGTGTCCTGTGGGAGGTGTTGCGGGAATATGGGGTGTCTGGCCCATTGCTACGGGCCATTCGATCCCTATACAACCGTTGCAAGAGCTTGGTTCGCATTGCCGGCAATAAGTCGGACTCGTTCCCGGTGGGTGATGGGCTCCGCCAGGGCTGCCCTTTGTCCCCGGTTCTGTTCATAATTTTTATGGACAGAATTTCTAGGCGCAGCCAAGTGGCGGAGGGCTTTCGCTTCGGTGGCCTCAGAATCTCATCTCTGATTTTTGCAGATGATGTGGTTCTGTTGGCTTCATCGGGTGAGGGCCTCCAGCTCGCACTGGAACGGTTCGCAGCCGAGTGTGAAGCAGCGGGAATGAGGATCAGCACCTCCAAATCTGAGGCCATGGTTCTCAGCTGGAAAAGGGTGGAGTGCCCACTCCGGGTCGGGGATGAGTTCCTGCCCCAAGTGGAGGAGTTCAAGTATCTCGGGGTCTTGTTCGCGAGTGATGGGAGAAGGGAGCCGGAGATCGACAGACGGATTGGGGCTGCAGCTGCAGTAATGTGGACGCTGCACCGGTCCGTCGTGGTGAAGAGGGAGCTGAGTGTAAAAGCGAAGCTCTCAATTTACCGGTCGATCTACGTCCCTACCCTCACATATGGCCACGAGCTGTGGGTAGTGACCGAAAGAACGAGATCGCGGATACAAGCGGCAGAAATGAGCTTCCTCCAAAGGGTGGCTGGCCTCTCCCTTAGAGATAGGGTGAGAAGTTTGGCCATCCGGGAGGGGCTCAGAGTAGAGCAGCTGCTGCTCCACATCGAAAGGAGCCAGCTGAGGTGGTTCGGGCATCTGACAAGGATGCACCCTGGGCGCCTCCTGGGTGAGGTGTTCCAGGCATGTCCCACCGGGAGGAGGCCCCGGGGCAGACCCAGGACACGCTGGAGAGATTATATCTCTCGGCTGGCCTGGGAACGCCTTGGTATTCCCCCGGATAAGCTGGAGGAGGTGGCTGGGGAGAGGGAGGTCTGGGCCTCTTTGCTTAGGCTGCTGCCCCCGGCCCCGGATAAAGCGGATGAAGATGGATGGATGGATGGATATATTTATATATATTTATATATATATATATACACACACATATGTATATACAGACGGATATATATATATTAGGGGTGCAACGATATTCGTATCGATATTGAACCGTTCGATACAGTGCTTTCGGTTCGGTACGCATATGTATCGAACAATACAACATTTGTAATTTATTTTATCAACTTTCCTTCTGACGATGCGCTCAGTGAATCTGTGTTCGACTACTCCGCCTAGGCTGCACTGTCCAGCGCAGATCCACTGAGCGTTCAACACAGACAGCATAGTCAGAAGGATGAGCGCAGGGCAAGCTAGCGAGACAGAAGTTAAGCTCTCCTTATATATATATATATAACTAATATCTGGTACTGATACTGATACAGAATACTTCCTATGGGTTATGAGTAGTGAACTTTGTTGTAACGTATGATAAGATCTCCACTCGAGTGTGTTTTTAAAGATTCAAACTTGATAATGAAGCAAACACCTGAACATTGTTGGTTCTTTGTTACAAAACACCATTACAAAGGTGGAAGAAAACAAAAATAGCGCTGGGTGTCTGTGACATAACTATAGCTAAATTTAGCACTCATCCCACTGACTATTGATGTTTTATGAGTTTAATTCTTTGGTGAAAACAGGAAATAATTTCACATTGTAGATCTGAAACTCTCTTGAACCACTTTACACAGTTCAACTAGAACTTCTCCTCATTTCAATCTGGGCCTATAATCAGCTAAACATAATATCTGCCCTGCATGAAACTCAGGTGTGTAATCCATTCAAGTTATTGCCCTTTTACTTCCTGTCTTTAAATAGGCTGTGAACACACACAGGCCTGCGCAGCAAATGCCCTCCTCCTGTATCAGTAGTCGTGCCCCGAGGGAAGAGTCATAACTTATTTACTGGTGCTCTGCTCGAGACACTGATGATCCTACCTGGCACCAGGATCGTGATGGCAGTCTGCACAGCCTTGCGGATGATGTTGTCCAAAGCGAACATCCAGTGAGGCTTGATGTTGTGGTTTCGCAGCACTTTGTTCACCTGGAAATGGAGAGGTTCACACTCATGAGAGCACGTTTTACAATGTTTTACCTATTAGTGATTCTACACCTAAAATAAAAATGAGTTCATTCGTATTTGCCTCACAGATTTCATTCCAAGAATTGTTCTTAAGAGAATTGTTTATACTTCATTTTAACTTCTGCCGCAATAACTAAATATCCCCAAAGGGATTTTTAAAGCAGCCTACTCTTCATGGCATTATTAATATTTGCAGTCACGCACTGTGAAGCTCTAATTTTTTTGCAGCAATGACCAACAGGAGGCACCAGAGCTTCATCTACCAGCACGATTACACAATCCCACTTACAAATATGAAAACAACCACTCGCTCTGTGCCATTTCATCTGCATAACTGCATTTCTGAGGGGGAGAGCAGATGAGCCTTTTAACATTATGTGCAATTACTCCTGACAGATCTCCCCCTTTTATCGCCTCACTTAAAGGTTACAAGTATTTCCACAGTCATCTGTCTAATCTCTGAGCAGGAAGAAAAGCAACAAGGCAGCCCGCAGCTGTCTGCAGCCCATTTCAAATGACAACAATTACACTGTTCAGAGCCTTTGTTTTATGCAGCGGCGAGAAGCACCTTTGCCTTCAAATGGGTACTTAATAACAGGAAATCAGAAAATAATGAGCCTGTGAGGAGAATTACAGCAGCAAATCATCAATGTAGCAGTTCAGGTTTGTGACCGCTGTAGACTAAAATTTGATCCTTACTGTGGGTAAGCTAAAGACACTTGGTTATAAACTAAAAAGCTGCAGCAAACACAAGACATGTTTTATTGATTTGGGTTATATTTCATATTCCAATTATGATCAATTATTCATGAGCCCAGTGGGATATCACAGATGAAATGTAGCTGAAATTCATTGGATTGACCCAGTATCTTTTTCACGGTATTTCTATTAGCACTTACAGCATCCTGGAAGCCGAACAGCATAATCTGCAGTTGACTGATGGCAGTGCTGTCAAAGTCTAGCTCCAGCTTGAGCTGAGACAGGGTGTTGGCGATGATTTTCCTGTCTGCCATCCGAACAAAGTCAGCAAGACTCACCACAAGGGTGGAGATGTGCTGATGTTTTAGCTTCATTTCCTCTGAGCCCTGAGGTAGGAGGCAAGCGGGGAAAGAAGAGATGAAAATGGTGGTTTAGGTTTACAACAGGAGCTTCCAACTCCAACTTACTAACATCCCTATCAGATAGACTTAAGAAATTTTTTCCATGTTTAAATTATTTTAGTACAGTTTAAAATTTGTTTAATTGTTAGTAATTCATTTGAGTATCCCTTTGGCTATTTGGTCCCTTCATTTAATTAACTGTAACAGCTGAGCTAATCTTTCCATGCACAGCCTGGCTACTGCACTGGAATGCCTGTGAACAAGTGTGTGTTGTTGAACTTGTAATGTACTTCTATATCCATCTATTCATTCTCAACGGTTTCCAACCTGTGCCAGGGCTTCCATCAGGTTGGCCACCACCTTGGCCTGATCTTCAGTAAGGATACGGTGCAAGGTAGCTCGCCTCTCGCTGTCTTTCCGAAGCATAAAGAAGCCCGAGTCCTTCTCATCAGGTGATGGAGGGGCACTGTGGTCCTCGAAGTTCTCCACTGGAATGCTGAGTAGAAAAAGTAGAAACCCCATTTGAATTTTTTGTTCCTTCTATATGTACAGGTTGCTGTACCCTCCCTATTGGTACTAATCAGCAAGGTTAATTAAGTATGTTTTACTGGTGACATTAAATATAAGATAAATAAGTTTTTGCATTGCTTTAAACATGAACATGTTTAAATTTAAATCACTGTAGGACACAAAAACCCAGGAATGAAAGGAGGCGGAGGCGAGCTTCAAAAGCGAGTGAATCCCCAAAAACTCCCTTTTTACAATGTGCAAGATTACAGCATAAATAAAGACATTCACGACCTGATACTGAAATGGTTTTGTTTTCTGTTGCTGATTTTAACCTTTAAAACAAGTGTACAGGTGGTGAAATCTCATATTATTTTGGATTTTTAGGGGCGCAGCCACTCTGACAGACAGAAGCATTTTAATTAAATTATCTGACCTCTTGCTGTGTGGTTAATTGTACTAAAAGCCCATCCGGGGAGTCTGTGATCCAATTTTGGTGAGTGTAATTCTAGCACTTTATTTACATTTCATTTAGCACTAATTAGCAGGTATCTATGTGATGCATCCATACAGTCTATGAATAGAGCTTGATAATCGGGCTTGCCAGGCTCTGCTTGAGAAAAAACCCCCCAAAGAGATTCAAGACATCTCAACTCAAGGCTTCAACACGTATGTACATAAGCTAATGGGTGAAGTCACGGTGACTACATTTTTTATACTGGTTTAGTCTAAATCAATACTATAGTCATAAGGCTGTAACAACAAATGAATAATTTAAGGCAAAATGACTCGTCTGAGGTGTCCAAGTTGTTCTACCTGAGAAAGAGGGACCTCTGGCCCTTGACATCCTTTTCACTGTAGCACTTGATGCTTGGCTTGAAGATGAAGGGGTTGGTGTTGAGGTCGTTGTCAGGGGAGACGGAGCCATACTCGCTGCTGCTGCTGGTGTCTTCCACTACAACGGGCACTGGCAACGAGATACTGCGGAGATACTCTAGAAGACACAGGGAACAGAAGATGGAACAAAATCGTAAAGGTGTTTGTTTGATCATCATCTAACTAAAGATTTTGCTGTATAGCAGCATGCTTTCTGTCTGTTATGGTGTTTGTGTGCAACTGATCAAATAGATTACAAAACATATTCAAGCATTTGGGAAACCATCTTGTTGTTTACTCTCTATCTTGAATCCTGGCAAAAGGGCAGAGTCGTACAAGGCAGGTAGCTGCCACCAAGAGAAAAATGTAAACCGCAGCCCAGATCCTATTCAGTAAAGCAGGGTGATGTTTCATGGAAATGACATCTAGTTTATAAAGTACTCCCACTAGTGGTAAATGTGTCTGAAAAAGTGCAGAGAGCAAAATTACTCACCTGATCCTGGTGTCAGAGCTGCAGGGAAAAACAGAAAATATGTGTCAGCAGTTAAAAAAGAACAAAACAGAAAGCAGGGTAACATTCAAAGCATGCAGAGAGGCACAAAGCTTCTTTCTAATCTTCTGCACTGCTGTGAAGGCACATGACTGATGCCGTGGGGTGAAAACCCAACAGGAAATGACTATTTTACAATCCAAATAATGAAGGATGCGCCTGAAATTCTTAACACTTAAAAAACGGTTTTGGCACTAGATGAATCTAGTAATCACTACAAACAAAGATTTTTGATACTGGAAGCTTTCTGGTTTCTGGTTGTAGCCACTAGTATTACTACTGAAGACTATTTGCTTTAAAGCTTAATCTAAAGAGATACTGTTTGTTACCTTATTAAAATTTAGACGACTTTATAACAATAATAATAGAATAGCAACAGAATCGTCAATAGGATATCCACTATTCATTTATTCTACACTGAAAACTCCTAAAAATGGCTGTTGCTCGATAGTGTCACGACCTGCGGGGTCGGCAAGGCACTGATCAGCAATCTCTCTCCCCCTCCCCTGTTTTGCCGGGGCAGAACTCACGGCGGGTTCACGCCCTCGGCCCACGCCCTCCCGGATCATGCACACCTGGGCCTCATCAGACCAGCTGGTATATCAGAAGGAGGAGATCAGCTGTTCAACGCTGGATTGTTGTGAAGACTCCTGTCAGTACACGTCGAGCCCTAGTTTCCCACACTTCCGACTCAGAAAGTAACACTTGTCTCTCTGTTCTAGATTCCCCGGACCCGTCCCCGTGTTTCCCCGTGTGGAGCGTGTATGAGGTGGCTGGTCACTAGCGGAGAGAGGTTGGCGTGAGCGTGTGTGTGATCCCCTTGTTTTCCCTGGAGCCCTGGAACCCGTCCTCGCACATCTTGTATATAGCACTGTCCTCGCACTGCCTGTAAATACACTTGGTGAAGATATTTGTGAATAAACTGTCTCTGTTACAACACACTCTGGAGTCCTGCGAGTGGATCCTCAGAGCAACCCGTGACAGATAGGCTTTGAATGGGGAGTTTCTTTTTCCCCCTCTTAGAGCACTACTTGAGGTGGTTGATTTTAGCAGTGGGGAAGATCATTATGAGGTTCACGCCATTCCCTTATCAAGGCTGTAAGTAAGTAGAATTCTGCTACATTCCTGGAAGTCGGAGATACCTGCAGCCTTCGATAAGTGGCTGAAGGAATTAGGAAATTTGTTACACTTAGAGAAAATGATGTCAAACAAAGCAGGTCTCTTTCAGAAACTTTGTTTACCAGTCTGACTGAAAAGTTGAAGTCACTTTTTATCGGTCTTACGGATTAACAATGTCACAGTTTTATAATAATGTGTTCTAGTTTGTATGTGAGCCTCTGCTATTATCCAACATAGGGATTAAGGTAACTCCCCCTCCTGGATTCTCACACTCTTGTTGTTTTAAACAGATAAGTCCTTGTTGTGGAGCTTTTATTGTGCATACAGTATATAATCATTTCTCTTCATTACTCGTAATGCTATAATTGCTTCGCTGGTCTCTTGTCTGCTTGGCTCGGCGCTTGTAGTGAAACTGAGAGTGAAGGAGATAAGAGAAACTAGCACGACTGCAAAGCAAAGAGTCTCAAACTTTCCTGAAATAAAACGAGTTATTTAAGTTATAGAGGGGATAGTCTTGGTAATAATGTTATTGTCATGTAGCTATGCTCTGATCCACCTGTGAAGCTGCCCTTGCTCTTCTTTTTTCGGCTGGTGACGGTGAGGAACTCATCGGTGAGCAGGTCGAGCGCGGTGGCACGTCGGTCCGGGTCGGGCTCAAAGCAGCGAAGGATAAAGGCTTTAGCCTCTGGTGACATGGACTCTGGGATCTCTGGATGGATTTTAAACATACCCACCTGCACAAGAATGACATGCATGAAAGGCACTCAGAATCTATATAACAAGTTTAAAGAAATGAGCATAGTGTCAGTTCAAGCAGGAGAAAAAGTCAAGCTAAGCTGCAATCCTGGCAGATCAGCTGATCTCAACGCCTGCCTACATTAGATGATGCGTCAACCTTTTGGCAAATCTCATATATGGTGTACTGTTAAATCTTTTTTAGCCTGGCCATTGCCTATTCACCTGCAAGCCACTTTGCAGCCCACTTCCACCACAACTCCTTCTTCCCTACTTAGTCCCAGTTCCCGGTTTTGTACAGCTAGCCTTGCTTCTGCTGCTCTCATAACATGCTTTTCACGCACGTGCATGGAAAGACAGGGGGTGGAAAATTTAAACAACTAACAGTAACTTCTTTTGGCTACAGTGAAACAAGTTTAAAATAACCGAGACAGTGTGAGGTTGCTGCAATGGGCAAATTATCTGATTAAGTTTAAGAAGCAAGAGCAAAGAGCAGAGCAGTGTTTACACAGTGATGTTTGAATATGAGACTATCCACGAGGCCTGGCTGTGACTTGGGGCAGCAGCTGAAAGTAACAATACTTCGAGCACAAGACTCTCATTAAAAACATGATAAATTCCTGTTGTTGATGTGCAGGAATTTAAGATTAGCAGGGAGATATCCCACCCCTTGAGAAATTCCAGAAAGATGACTGAAAGTATATCACGAATGTTTAAGAAATGCTACAATGCAGTGCAGACAAAACACAAGATCTCCTAAGAGATTTGTGACTCTACTTGCACTTCTGTGGTGATCTTTATTGATAAAATGTGATGAGATCCAAGTTTCCCCTTTCATGTTCTTTAAACTTCAAAGCATCCGAAGCAGAGCAGCATATTTAATTAAATCACATCATATGGAAAATTCCATGATTCAGAGCTTTGACAGGAGTGCTGTAATGTTTTCCAGACACCTCTTAAACATCTCTACTGCCCCTAATGGGCCACACATAGCTTATAACAATAATTCACTGTACAGAGTGCTTTAAATTTCCATCCAAAGCAAATGCACGTGTAAACTGAGTGGTTAACAAGATCCAGCAAAGACACACCCGCACAGAAACTAAAGGCCCACTGTAGAAGTTCCTCTTACGGAGCTATGCTTTTGTTTGCATTCAAACAAATGTTCGTGCACAGACAGTATTTGTAGTTTCTACTGGGCTTGGTCAGATTATAGCCTGCAGGTTGAAACCAATGCAGGTGCAGAATGACTCTGGTTTTGTTTTCATAAAAAGAGGGAACTGATAAGCATGCATGAAAGACTGGTGGTTATTTTGTTTGTTAGTTGACTTCTTTACGTTGAGCACCTTTCTTTTAAGACATGGAACATAATTCTGTAATAAAAACAGATGTAATGGACACAATGTACTCTGTATATTAGCTGTTTATATGTACAATAGGTTTCCATAAACAGCCCTGGGTGTGCTGGATGGTTGGCAAAGGTTAAAGCATGGTACATGGTGTCATGCTGGAGGCATGAAGTCATAAGGTAGGGTTTTTCCAAAGAGAACAGACACAGTTATATATAGTTTTCCACCTCTCCTTACTTCAGCTGAACAAACAGTTTCTCTTGTGATCTCTCCCTACAAGCAGACACTTGATGGTGTCATGTTTAAGTCATGTGATAACAGCTGAGTCACCTTTTTTATTAAACAATGACATTGCAATATGATAAAAGCTGCAATTATCTACTGTTTGTGCTCTGAATAAAGGGGTTTTAGTTCAGTTCTTGAACTCTGTTACAGTCGTTTTATATAGTTCACAGTTCAAGAAATCAAATTTATCTTAACGTGAACTTTGATCTAACCAATCACGTCATCGAGTGTGTGAAACAAACTGTTATAGATACCTTCAATCTCCCTTTACGCCAGCTGTCTTCCCCTCTTAAACAGAAGGAATAAAAAGCAGCTGTGGGAATGAGATGACCACATTTGTTCTTACTGACATCATAAGTATTTAAAAAAGCCTAAAATGGTACCATTACATAAGGTCAGAGAACAAATACTTGAAATTATTTGAGCAAAGGGTAAACGAAAAACTAAATAAACTTGCACTGAGAAAAGAAAAAAGTACTGGTCAGTTTCGGTGTTTTCAATTAGTTTCCTCTTGTATCCTGACTTCGAGTTTAAACATAATATTTACTTGTATGACTTTGCAGTTTTTTTGTGGGTGGATTTATTTTTTTTATTAGCTCATATAAGACTTTTATCCTAACAGTACTACAGGTTTAAGATAAGATAAGATAACCTTTATTAGTCCCACACGTGGGAAATTTGTTTGGCTGGTGCATAATTGACAGCTACTGGTATTAGGAGATTTCTTGATCAGCAGTTGCATAATGCTAATGAAGACATTACTCAGAAATGTAAGAAGAAGAGTTTTCAGTCTTTCTCTTGTAGAAACAAACCCTCTTTCAGTCGTTTTTAGTCATGGTTTGAAAAAGACATAGATAGGATATCATGCATTTGGAGCAAATGAGTAAAGCTGATATGCTAATAACACGTGATGGCAAACTATTTGCCCTGTCATACTGGATGTCTCAAGGGTGCAATTATCAGCTCTCAAACATCCTCATATTTATTGACCTGGCAGAGCTGCAGCTGTTCATTGCCACTGTTTTTGAAAGATGCCGTTATGAAAACAGCTGCTCGCCAGACTTCTACTTTCAGTTTTCTAAAATTAGACATCTTACCCAGCAGGATATTGGGATATGTCGCTGTTCAAATCTCTCACCTTGAACATGGCGGCCTGTGGTTCTCCCAGTTCATAGAAAGGTGGCTTCCCAGTGGCCATCTCTATGATGGTGCAGCCAAGGGACCAGATGTCTGCTGGTTTGCCGTATCCCCGTGGGCCCTTGTCTATAATTTCAGGAGCCATGTATTGCAATGTGCCTGAAAAATGACGCACAAAAAACAATAATAAACACATAATGAAAACTCAAATTCAACCACTCATTTTTTAAGTGTCAAACAAATGAAACAAAAACATTTCAATTAGTGAGCATTAGAGGAGGTGGTGGGTGGATTATGGGTATAAAGGTTTTGAAACCCAGACTGAATTTGTGACGCAAATATCTAATTCGCTCCTGTTACTAATAGAGCATTGCTAGAATGTTGTAAAAGTGCAGCAACTCAGCGTATGAATGTCAACAAACTTGGACAAACCACAGAGTTATGCAACAGCTATAAAGGGAACGAGGAGGGAACGCTTCATTATTATGCTAACTAAAAGGGACACTGCTGGTATTCTCATGGTGAAACGTACACTTCAGCTGAGAGGTATACCAGATTTTAAATGATTTATTTCTTGCTTATGTAAACAACATGTGTGTAAATATAGCATCAATGATAGCTGCTCAGTTTATATCATTATATAATGATATGCTAATTAGTCAGCCTCATTTTGCTTATGTCAGTTAGCCTTGGTTAAAGCATGCTGTCAGATAAAAACAATGTTTAAAGATAGTTCAAAGGGTCAGCAATACCAGTTTATTTTATTGTTGTTCATGTCCTAATCAATCTCTTAAACCTGCATCCAGCGCAACTGCCTGGGATCATTTTCCACCACAACCTCTGTCTTTTAATATCACAACACTCTTACTTTACTCCCAATCAAATAAGAGTTAATGAACCAAATAATTGAGCAACTCAGTCATGGAACAATTAAATAGTTCAAGTATTGACTATAAGTTTCCTAAATGTGAGGGAAAGGCAAACAATAACCTTGATTACACCCAGTTAACTATTTCTTAGACTAACCATCTCTTGCAGAAAAATGTGCTTTTGTTGCTTATTTTGTTCCCTCCACTATTGTTCCATGTACATCCCCAATAGCAAAGAATTGGGACACTGTAAAATGTAAATAAAAACAGAATGCATTGATTTGCAAATCTAATAAATCAATATATATATATATATATATATATATATTATATATATATATATATATATATATATATATATAAGGGTCCAGTAAGGGTCCTAAGGCTAGACCCCCTATGCTAAGCAAGCCTACCGCAGACATGAGCGAGACAGATAAATATGAAGGCATGCCGGCTCGGACGTCGCCCGGATCAACAAGGTCCGCGTCAGGTGTTGAGGAACCAGGGCACCCTGACGAAAAGTGGGCTACCAATTGGGTTAATTGGTAACAGCTCAATAACATGACTGGAGTTTCTCAGAAGCAAAGAGGGGCAGATGTTTTGTGGAACAATTTCAAAATTATAACAAAGACTTCAAATATCTCATCATGTAAAGTACTAAATATTATCAGAAAATTCACTGATAAATCTCTGTGTGCTTGGCACAATGCTGAAAATCAATATTAGACGCCTGTGATCTTTGAGCCCTCAAACAGCGCAGCATTAAAAACAGGCATGACTCTGACATGGTGACTATGATCCAGAAACACTGCTGCCTTCTTTGGGCTCAAAATGATTTAAAACTGACTGAGGCAAAGAGGAAAACTGCTGTGTGCTCAGATGAATTGAAATTTTAAAATCTTTTTGGAATACATGGACGCAGCGTCCTCTGTACAGACGAAAAGACTATTCAGCTTTTTTAGAACACATTTTAACAGTCTGCACTTACAGTATGATAGAGGTTCATTAGTGCCTATGGAAACGTCAGTGTGCACACCTGCAAAGGCACCATCAGTGCTGAAAGGTATATACAGATTTTAGAGCAACATATGCTCCAATCCCAGACGTCTTTTTCAGGGAAAACTTTACATATCTCAGCAAGACAATGCTAAACCTCAAACTGCATCTATTACAACATCATGAAATGAAAAATATGACAAGAAAGACCTAAGACTATTAAGCAGTTTGAGTGCTATATCAGATAAGAATGAGGCCAAATTCCTCTCCCAAAGGTCTGGCAGCTGTTCTCCTCAGTTCCCAGATGTTTACAGATGGTTTTTATAAGAAGAGAGGTACACTGGTAAACATAGCCATATCCCAACTTATTCCCGTGTTTCTCAGTTTAAACATTTGACATGTTTTCTGTGTTTTATTACGAATAAAATATGGATTTTTGAGAATTGCAAATCAATGTGTTCTTTTTTAATTTACATTTTAAAAAGGGTCCCAACTTTTTGGGAATTTGGAGCTTGTATAACACTAATGATGAAATCCCTGTTGCTGTTGGTAACTCTTCCGGTTTGCACTGCAGAGCTCCAACAAAAACTACTAAAAATAACTTTCATCTGGCTTTTGTTTTTTTGATCATATTCATAAACCGATAATGTCTGTGTGAGGTAAAAGTAGCGTCAGCAGGGTTGTGAAAGAACTGATGTAAATGCCAAAAATAGCTTCAATTTGAGCTAACAAAAAGTGATGACACAATTCCTGCAAATTGCCAATCAGGTTAGAAAAGATTAAACGAGGCTTATGGCCTTATGTGAGAAACAGCAACGAGTTTCAGTGTTGTCAGTTAATCACAGCTCAGTCCAAAGCAACATTTTCAGGTCCACACTGAAGGGAGTCTTTTGTTCTAATAATAGCCTGCAGGCTGCTTATCCGCTGATTTTTAAAGCTCGTGTACTGAGCTAAAAACAGGCGAGCACACATTTATAGCAGGCGTGGGTTAAGAACAAGGAGTAGCCCAGTTTCCTGAAAGAGCTCCGCCTTCCAGGGTAAGTCCCCGTCTGCCTCGAGCAGCAGTCAGATGCTCTAATTCCAGAGGTCAAACTATGCTACAATTGGCAACTGCAGTGCTGACATTACAGGTCTACATATCAGGCTGATCTAACTGCAGACTCAAGCCAAAGCCAGAGTTTCTAAATAGGAACAGCCTGCTATTTTTAGGAATATCACATACTGTCCAAGGACTTAAATGGGATTACTGCTCTGAAATAGTCACAATCAAAGAACAGCAGTAGGCTCGATACTCAGACACTACTGAGCAAATTTTAACAAAGGATGTTTCATAAAGTTTTCTAGTAGTCTCCCCACAACAGGGGAGACAACTCTACTTGGCTTAAGTATTTCATACTGGCTTGCTTATGGGGAAGAGAATCTAGATAGTGGGTTGGACTGTACCTGTGAAAGTCTCAGTGCAGGGGTTGATCCCAGCCAACCTTTTGGATGTGCCAAAATCTGATATTTTCAGGACGCCACTGTAGGTGTTGATGAGTACATTATCACCCTGTGGATTGAAAAGACATTCATCAGAACAGATGCACCAAATTCCAAAGCCGTGATAGCATTGATAACGTGAGGTGCTTGCAAATCTTGAAACAGTAGGTTACAACACCATGTGTGGGAGGAGGAGGAGCTCTAAGCCAAAACAAGGTGATTAACATTTATGTGGTGCTAATGAAGTTTATATGACTGAGTTGTTAAATGAGAAGGATGTGGCTTCTAACTCTAATGACTACCTACGATGGGAATGTTATGAGTGTTGGTTTGCTTTTAGTGAGATAAAAAAGGGAGCGGCACTTGCTTTAAAAAAAATGATTCCTGTTGTAGCCAATGGGCTAGCAAAGAAAATGGTGTGAGCAGCTGGGATGCTCTTTGAATGCATTTGCAGCAAATCAAAGTCGCTGTGCAAACAGTCACATGGAAGACATGTTCAGACTACAAACAAGCAAACAAGGTTTTAACACACCCTAAAAACTGAAATTCTGCAGGAGCTGAATCACGTCACTCTGAAAGCTCCTCTTTTTCCAAAAAACAACATCCGATTACTTTTTGTGCGGATGAAAGATTTATCAGTTCTAAGTACTGTGTTTTTTTCCCCCCATTTTTATGTTTACATTCCTCAAATGTGTTGTATTCTTCTGATAAAGTTTGCAGTTTGAAAACATTCAGAGATCCTTCTGTGCATTAAATATCATTTTACTTCTACGTCCTCCTCTTTGAGATACTGTGCATCCTCTGCTGCTAAGCGAAAAAAGATCTGTCCAGAGTAACACCAGGAGGGAATTCTGCGCTAAAAAGACTTTTCTGAATTCCAGATTTAGAAGGTTTCTGTTTGATCTGATTAAGTCAGACTGCTGGGGAATCATTTATCTCTTGGAGGTTTTTTATAGCAAAGATTGTCAAATTCACCACCACTTGAAGTGGAAGCAAAGGCACCTTTTTAATGAGTTCATAGCAAGCAAAACCTGAGTGTTAACCTGAGTTTGTGAGCGTTTTAAAACTTTGACTTTAAAAGGTTCCAACTCATCTTATGAAGACGTTTGGTCAGGACTAGTGACAGAAAACTGCTCTGCTCATGCCCTGACTGCTGTGTATAACTGTGGTAATCAAGGAAATATCAGAGAAGCTTGGTGCAGACATGGATGATTTCCCCCCCTACATCTGAACATGTGCATAAACAGTGACAGGAAACAAATATAAACGTGAAATAAAATGCAAAAAAAATTGACTATATAAACACATCTGATTCCAGAAATTCCTAAAACTTTAGTGGTTAGAGGTCTGTGTGATTGTGTCACCTCTTGTTCCTCATTTTGGACACAGAAAGTAAAGGGGCTTGATGTGCCTCAAAAAAGACAATACTGAAGCACTATTTGCAAATACACAAGAGGAGAGAAGAGGTTTCTGACCATCAGTTGACTCGTTAGCAATGAGAATGTGCTTCAAAGTATGACAGTGATAATGTTTCATAAAGTTGGAGGTGCTAAATTAAACATGTAAGGAGTATGAAGCTGATCAGAACTAAAAGTGTTTCTTTAATTTCTCAGCTAGTGTTTTTGCAGCAGACCGCGCAGAGATCATCTGTCTGTCACACGGCACTTACTTCTTTCTTCTTTTCCTGCTGACAGAACTCGAGTTGCTGTAGTTGGTGCATGTTTGTCGACTTACTGTAGCTCTCACACTTACTAGGTCTTCTGTTTACTAAACCTAATGTAAAGGTTAAAAATGCACCATGTCCTACACACTTTTTTTGTGCAAAGTTGTGCTGTGGCAATGTAGTGCACTTTGTAAAGTGCAAACAATGAGAGCAAATTTAAGGTGTTTTGAGTTTATTTTGTCTGAAACCTCCTGGGCTTTAACATGAGTGTAAAAAGCTGCAGTTTCACAAATGGCTATATGAGGTTGGCTGCAAAAACAAATGAATCTCCACTGACCACCATGTTAAAGCATGGCCCAATTTTATAGCGTTAAACAGCATCTTTACTATCTGGTACAAGACATTTTGGTCTCTATAGCAAGTTTCCCTTTGAAGGTGGATATTTTTCGGTCTCACCGTTCTGGATATTAACGTTAAGCAGTGACTGCTTTGATTGGCACAAACCCCCACACAAAAGAAACTGTAGCAATATGCTGTCTCAACTAAGAAGTCCAATGAACTGGACCTCTACCAACTGTTTGTAGTACTGGTCCCTTTGAGTGTATTAGTTCTGAAGTTATATGAACAAGGCCCGTTGTCAGGTACAGGCAGTCCAGGAAGTTTACACTTCAAGTTTGGTGAATGAAATTCTGGTATTTTATGAATCTGTTGTCTGTACTTTTCTTTGTCGCACTCATAATTTGTATGAGTGCAGCTTGATAACATTAGCTGATTACTTTCTGCATCAACCCTTCACCTAAACATGGTCACTGTTGGCTGGCTCCAAAAAACTAATACTCCAGAGTCCAATCGTTCAATCCATCTTTCATATGCAGTCTATGCTTACGACCCCAATTATCTATAGAAAGTCTTTCTGAAAATGAGTCTGCAGATGTCACAAAGATGAGCCAACAGATTGTTAACTCTGCAAAAACCCTTCTTTTGTTACCTTGATGTCTCTGTGTGCAATCTGGTTGTCGTGCAGGTATTTGAGCCCCTCCAGGATCTGCCGTGTGTAGAAGCCGATGGTGGGCTCATTGTTTTTCAGTGGGCCCCACTTGGACCTCAGCAGTGCAGACAGACTCCCTGAACACCAGGGGACAAAGTACAACAATCATCAATATATTCACTCTCAGCAGAGATTAGCAGCAGAGGACTAAGGCCATTATGTACAGGTTTATACTACTTCTCTGCAAATCACCCATCTTATCTATAAATGCAAACAGTGTTTTTACTGTTAGTGTAAGTATGACTGGAAACAACACATTCTGACATCAAAAAATTGATTTTGTTTCATACCGGTTTCCCTCCATTTGGACAATAAAAATTATTTCAGGACAATTAAGTTCTAACAGTTCCACAGCATCGGGAAGCGTCTCACCTCCAGGCACCTGCTCCATGAAGATCTTGATGAAGCCGTTCTCGCTGATAGAGCCCAGGTACTGGACAATGTTCTTGTGCTTTAAGTGCTTGTGGAGGGCGATCTCCTCATGAAGTGGTTGAGAGTACCTGTGTAAAAACAAGTAACAGTACATGTTTCTTTATATCCTGAACAGAAATCTGTGGGCCAGTTACTAACAGCAAACGTGGAGGAGTCAATCAACAGCCAAATTGGGAATCATATAAGCTGATTTGAACTGTATAGCAGCACATCTAGTTATTATCATAATAAAGTTGAAGGTAAGTATATTAGTAGCACACTTAAATAGCCAAATGTGTTGGTGTCTCGTGAGTCTACAAATACTCTCTTTATTCAAACAGGTGATTGTGTTATAAGTTGAGCTACAGCAGGTAGCGCCACATGTTTAATTTGGCAGACTTTTTAATGCTTTATGCCCTTCCAGATGTAACCCCAAAGGGATCCGATCAAACTGGGAACGTTTTACTTGTTAGCCAAATAGTGTAAACCAGCGGTCTCCAACCTTTTTTGCGCCACGGACCGGTTTATGCCCGACAATATTTTCACGGACCGGCCTTTAAGGTGTCGCGGATAAATACAACAAAATAAAACTAGTACCGGTACGGAAAAAAGAAAATTTATTCATAACACGTGAAAAGACCCAGGAAAACTGAGTTAACGATAAAATCGATAACAAAATAACGCTGAAAACCGATAAAAACCCTGAAAACTATACATTTCACACCTGAGCCTCTACTCTCACGGCCCGGTACCAAACGACTCACGGACCGGTACCGGTCCGAGGCCCAGGGGTTGGGGACCGCTGGTGTAAACCACAAACAATGGAAGTAAATGTAAGAGCTAAAATCTATGTAAAAAAATATTTTTTTTTAACATATATTAGACAATTTGTTCTGCACAAAACAACGATTTGTTAAAATAAGTAACTATCTTCGCTTGTGGCGGTGTCCTGCTAATGTGTTTTTTCCTTCAGGTAAAATAAACCTGGTAAAAACAAGACAAACTGAGAAATAAAAGATTAAACCAGAAAATCAAACTGACGCTAAGTCCTGATATCTGACCAGAACAACAGGTACCTCTGTACTAGGAAGAAATGCCCGTGAGCAATTTCTTTTCACATTCAGCTCTCTACATGAATCACACCCAGCCTCTCGCTCTCTCTCTCCTTCTCTTCCTATCTTGAGATTTCATTCCACTTGTGAATTATTTACCCAAATTCTCCACATTCTTTGCAGTTGAGCGCCCTGCTGGCTTGCTGATGTGATTAGAGGAACAAAGTGTGAAATCATCTAGTCTGCAAAAGAGTCTTGCAGTATGAGATGAGTAGCTGGAACTATGTGGAGACAAGCATTTCGAGCAGAGACAGTGATGGGAATAAAAAGGCAGAGGGTGGGAGTTTGCATTCACAGCTCTCCACTAACCAGTCACTCAACTGGATACCAGTGTTCTGAGAGCCAGAAACCACCAGGGACACAGCTGAACTGAGCTTGGCACTCTCAGCCAGAGAAAAGGACTAATTTTTAATGACACTCCAGAGCTGCGCTGAATGAAATGAGACATTAACGGCACAGACACTTGTTAACATTTGGGCTGAAATTCAATCTTTGTGCAGTACAATAAACAGATGATACATATTATCTTAATACAGTGCCCCTATTGAAATTTCTTAATAACCAAGTGCTTTGATGATTATTGTAATCCACTATTTGTCACAATCTCTCCTGTGAGTTTGCCAACAGTGGTGCTTATTCTGCAGCTTAGGTAAGCTCACAGTAACGGGACATGAAATGTCCCTACAACAATTGCCTGGCCTGTGAGCCAGTCAGGACATACTAGACAGAAACGACCGAGCTAGCTGACTTGCTGATTTTTCAAAATAAGAGCGGGATATTCTATTAATAAAATTAAAGAAAGCTAAAACTTTCACTACCAAATATGCTTGGTTGACCATTAATATGCTTGACCAACCTGCCCAAATAAAGTTTATGTGGGAAACACTGAACACAGCCGTTTCGTCATCAGTCTACCAGCTACATTATGAGCCAGTCTTAGACTTGGCACTACAGCAAAGGTCATGAAAAACAGGATTCATCCTCTGAGTAACAGGAATATCACCACTGGCAGACTTTCCTGCTACTGTGGCAAACAACAATAGAAATGATTCATTCATCCATGCGTATTGCAACATTGTTCCCCTGTGATTACTAAAAAACAAAGAACAAAAAACCCCCACAATAGCTGTTTTTCTGACCTGCTGTCTCTCTCTGGTATTTCTTTGATGGCCAGTCGGACCTGGTTACTGAGGTCTCGACCGGCGTACACCACTCCGAATGTACCTTTACCCAGAACCACTCTCTCTCCGTGCTCATCATACTCATAGTCGTACTGTGGAGACAAGAGAAACATGCAAACTGTCATTTAAAAAATATATATATAAATCAATCAATAAATAAATAGTAATATATACGGTATTTGCCATAAAGAATCAAAGCAAAATCCCATTACCCAAAACATGAGGTTACTAAATGTCACTGTCCATTGACCAGAAGAAATGCACCCACCATGCATTTTTACAATGACAAAGAGAAATAAATTAGAATAGTTAATAGTTAAAATAGAGTGATTTAATGAGTAAAGCACGAGTTAAATCTGAACATAGTAAACCAGTTTTTCTGCATTCCCACTGTACTGTTATAATTATGTTATAACTGTTTCATAAATGAATATTCTCTTGTTGCTGAAGCGGGTTGGCACCTGTTGCATGAATGAAAGAAATCAGCAAGTCTTTTCACTCCCTTAAAATACGTCTGATTGAGTTTTTATAACTAATAAAGGCTCTTTTCTTCTTAACGCGATTTCCTTAGCTTTGTTCCACTGATTCCTTCCCCCGTAAAAACACCTCAAAATCAAAGTTTTCTAAAAAATGTGAGTAATGCTTACGATGACTCCTCAAGAGCCCAATTTTGTGTTATATTCTTAAGGGACGGTGTAAGCTGAAGACTAACCGTCCCTCAGTGCAGGCTGATTAGAGTTGCATCACATGCATAAAAATCCCCCTGAGAAAAACCTGTTAGTCATTTGATCTGTGCCATGCTGAGTCAAAGATGGGTGCGGCAGCATTTTTCATAATTAGCTTATTCTTTTCCCTAGGCTCTGCTGGTAGAAGGCAGGCGAACGCAACAGCAGGTGCCTGTTCTGCGCTGTCACACAAAGCACATGAACAAAATCCAGGCCTTATCCCAGCGGGCTACTGTTCCTGTCTGAGCGTTCAAAGCTGAGTTTCAATCCAGTTATTATCATGCAAATTGTGCCGAACTGGATTAGAAAAGCTGGATGGGGAATTTGATCAAACAAGAGCAAAAACACGTCGTTCACCGTTTAATAACTGAGTAATAAATGCTGCATGAAAGGAGTCGGTAGGCTGTCAGTAAAGAAGAAGAGCCCTAATTATCTTTTGAAAGATGGGTTTCTGGTTTTTCTTTTTTTCTTTTTGTTTTTACTGTCAGCACTTCGTCTCTTTTTATGACAACATATTTCCTGTGGCATTTTAAAAGCAGGCAAAGTACACCGCAGAAACACAACAGGATGCGACTAAACAATGCAGAATAATGAACTTGTGGATTTTTCATTCTAATTAACAGTGCTTGGAGGTAGAGCTGCAGAATTATTAATTTAGGAAAAATTATGAACATTATGTTCAGAGGAAGTGTTTTGGTATCACGAAAATAATCACCTCTAAGGTATCAGTGTCACATTCTCCTTCCTCTGGACACTTCCAGGCTTCCTCTGTTATGCTGTTGACCAGATCACAAAATCTGCCAAAGAAAAGACCAGAGTCTGTTTAACGATGCTGATAACATGTATATCATATTTAACACAACTTCGGCATCTCGTAACAGTGGCATTTTACATTGCTACAACTTTCAACACTTTTACATTTAAAGATTTATATATTTACAAAGACTGAATTATTTGACATTATTTTGCAGACATGACATATATTAAATGAACACTTGCACAGAGTAATGGCAAATAGGAATGCCTTTCATTCAATATATGAAAAAGTTGGTACGTTTTGGCATTTCAAGAGAGTCGGAAAAGGAAACAAAGACCTTGACTTTCAGTTTTTCAGTATACTAGAATGAGTCCATGTTGGGTAAATAGAATATGAGTTACGGGCTTGACTAGAGTGATAGGAACAAGAAAAACACGTGCAGGACATCAAAAAGATTTTTAATATTGGAGTCCCTGCACTGAAAATCAACTTTACACTCATATAAAAAAACAAAACAAAGTTAAACAAGAAAAAGATTTTGTTTAATAAATAAAAAAAAAGTTTACTTTAATAATTGTCTGTGAAGGTTCTCAGTCATCCAGGTCATCGTAGTCAAAGGAGCTTGCAAAGAAAAGCGTCTGGACTTCTTTACGTTGCTTGAAGACGTTTCACCTCTCATCCGAGAAGCTTCTTCAGTTCTAAGGTCAAATGGTGGAGAGTCCCAGATATAAACCTAGTGGGAGTATCCCCCCACAGAGGGACAAAAGGACCCCCTGATGATCCTCTAATCGCCTGAGCCAAGGTGTGAAACTGGGTGTGGGTCCCACACCCAAACTCTGGCTGATTGGGACCCACACCCAGTTTCACACCTTAGCTCAGGCGATTAGAGGATCATCAGGGGGTCCTTTCGTCCCTCTGTGGGGGGATACTCCCACTAGGTTTATATCTGGGACTCTCCACCATTTGACCTTAGAACTGAAGAAGCTTCTCGGATGAGAGGTGAAACGTCTTCAAGTAACTTAAAGAAGTCCAGACGCTTTTCTTTGCAAGCTCCTTTGACTACTTTAATAATTAACCTTTTTTTAGGACCCCCCCCCATCCCCCGAACACAACAGAGATGCATATGAGAGCAGAAATGTCCAATGTAGTCAGATTGGATGTTATCCAATCTTTCTGCCAGCTCCCTCATACAAAGTCTGTGTGATGTCAGATTGCGAGGGATACAGTGCCACTGACTTCCAAACAATGTGGGATAGAAATGTAAAGTACGAAGGCTAACAGTGCCTTGGCCCTCCGACTTTGGGAACCTTTCTACAATAAGGCCAAAAAAGCCTTTTAAGGCCAACAATATGCTGTAAACATCTCCCTGTTGGCATTGGTAGCTAAAATCAGACTTATTTGTGCTGCAAGAAGTATTTTGCTTGTCAAAGATGGCCAAAACAGAATAAATGCAAATAAAAATAAGGCCATTAAGTGCAATCAAGCACAGTTTGCCTCTGTATTAGCAACAATACCTGTCTTAGGTGAACCCCTAACAAAAAATACATTATGGAGCTTATATATATAGTACTTAAATAGCTAACATAATTCAGAATCACAAACATATGGAATTATTTGTCAGAAATCCATTTTGTGCATATTGTTATTGAGTGGTGTTGTTTTGATTGTGCTTTTATCCAGAAGGGGTTACAGCGTGTTTGCATGCACACCTCCCACATGCATGCATACATACAATGACCTTTTCCACTCTCGGAGCACACAAGCTGTGAATTAACACGCTGCCTCATCATGCAGTCACACACCGCATGCCTGCAGGTGTTCAGTGACACGTGCGCTTGTGCGTGCACACATGCACAAGCGCATTCAGTCTGGGTCTCTTCCTCTTCCCACCGTCTTTCATCTATTTCTCCCTCCCTTCCTTCGTCCCTCTTCTCACCACTCCTATCCTACTGTCAATGCTGTTAAAATGAGAGCAGCATCATAACAACAGCAGGCGTGAATCAGGCATGACTCACTGACTCTCACACTCCAGATAATGGAACTGGAAGAGCGAGGAAGGCTCATATGTGAAAGTCACAAGTCTGAACACTCAGTGCTTCGCATAGCAGCTAGTGAAGAAGAAGATGGTGTCCAAATGAAATAAGGTGTGTTTGTGGTGATCGGGAAGGCACAAACTTTGCACCTGAGTGCAGGACTGATGGGAAACACTCAAACTACTGATGGGAAAGGCACAACCAACATGGAGCTTAACTTCTTTCTTTCACCTGCTAATTACAGAGTACAAAATTGATGTCTGATTGGTCCAGTGTGTGAAAAGTTCAGCTAATATTTTTGTGCATTCACTGCTACTGTATGCTTCTGTATGCTCTGTCAGTAAGTAAGGATGTGACGTAATTCCAGATGTGCAAACATTTCTGATGCAGAACATTTCCTGCTCTATTCCATATATGAGAAGGCTCAGCTGTGTAAATGAGCATAACCTGATCCTGTTTGTCCTAAATTCAAGTAAGAAAATTACTTAAGTTTACAATTTGCTGTGAAATCTTTCAGAATTAATCAGTTCAATAACACCTGTGTTTTAAGGAGAATCATAAGGCTTTGTGTCAGTAAAGGTGAAGCAGATTGCCCATTAACCATAAGGTGTCTTTACATATCAACTCAACAGTTGGAGCACATTATTTCACTTGCTCTTTCTCACAAGTTGAACAAAGACAGGTAATATGGGGCAGTTGGGCAAGTCTAGATAGGTTTAGGTTTGGAATGCACGTGTGAAAATTGTAATAGGTATAAGAATTCAACCCCGACTGCTCCTCTCCACAATCGTTTTGTATGTAAGGTAATGTAATGTGGGTCCCGCTAATTAATAAAACATCATTTTTTAAAGGGTTTACAACTGGCTCAATAAAAGAAGGAGGGCATTAGTGTTAAGTTATTAAGTTATTAAGCATGGGTCCAATTATGAGAGTGGTGGTCTTAATTGATCAATTCATCTGAGCCACACGTGCATTATCACTTTTACAACCGCTACTTATGAAGTCATTACAATGAAGAAAGGTGTGAAGCTGTGCCGACCCTTTACTTTGATTCATGACAGCAGCGTTTCTTTGTAATGATAGCAGACTGAATGTGGAGAACAGAGAGATGCTAAATTACACTTATGGTTAAGACATTTCAGGCTGTTCACTATCTGATATTTCAATGGATGGCTCATTAAACATGAATATTTCAATAATGTAATTCCGTACGAAAAAAGAAAGAGAAATAGGATAGGCCATTTATATTAAGTTTAAATTAACATTAAAGTGCCTTGAGCCAAGTGTTGTTGTGATTTGGCGCTATATAAATAAAACTGAATTGAATTGAACTGAAAATTAAATTAATGCAGTCACATTATGATATGATTTATTATGGTAAATTGCTAAAGATCTGGAATTGCATCTGTAAGAGAGAACACACAGACCAACCTTTTACAATGCATCTCTGTGCAGAAGTAGATCTGGAAGTCTTCTGCATTATGAAGGACGTAGAGAAAGGCACTGCGTTCATCAAACTTGGAGATGCTGAGGAGAAACGGTCCACAGTTTGTCCTCAGTTAGAAACAACCCACAATAACATTAGAACAGATGTGAGCTTTACATTGAATGAAGCTATAGCTACAAACTGTTTCTTTTGGAATATTCCACAAAATTCTCAAATGACACCAACTATTAAGTAACTCTTTCAACTATTTATCCACGTCATGTTGCTATTTTTACCCATTTTTCAACAACATTTAACATTTTTTTTTGTTTCTTTAAGCCATTTGTTAATCTATACTGTTGGACAACATTCCTTATTTAAATGCTGTTTGGTTTCTATTTGGCTAATGCTTTTGTTTTTGCTTTTTTAGCAGTTTCAGCTGTTAATACTTTTACCCAATATGTCTGTGAAGGTTCTCAGTCATCCAGGTCGTCGTAGTCTAAGGAGCTTGGAAAGACCTCTTTCACAGACATATTGGCTCGTGTGATTAGGTAGAGGATCAATAGGATGTCCTTTGTCCCTCTTGGGGGGGCATTCCCATAGGGCTTAAATTTGGGACACTCCACCATTTGACCCTAGAACTGAAGAAGCTTCTCGGATGAGAGGTGAAACGTCTTCAAGCAACGTAAAGAAGTCCAGACGCTTTTCCTTTCCAAGCTCCTTAGATTTTTACCCAACAGATTTTTTTTGCTAGCTCTAATTTAGCAAAAATGGCTAGCTTATGGTTTTCACTGTATACACTAGCAATTTGAACTGTTAATGCATATTAGTCAATGGTTTCAAAGCTAGCTAGCTAAGTAAATTGATTCAGCTAGTTACTGTTTTTTCAGAAATTTCCATTTTAGCTATTATTAATGCACACTATTAGTCAGCAGTAATAAAAGCTAGCTAAAGCTTTAGTAATCCAACTTATAACTTTGTCTTTATTTATTAGCCAATTACTATTTCTAAGCTCTTTCACTATTATATTTAGCAAACATTTTCGCTTTTAGCTAACATGTTCAAGTTGTAATGTAATGCATACTCTCAGTCAGTAATAACTGAGAGCTACAGCTTAAACAAGTCAGCCAAAAGGTTCTGCCAAAGATTCTTCTTGTGTAAAAGGAATTTTTCCTTGGCACTGTTGCTAAGTCCTTGCTCATAGAGGGTCACGTCATGATATGTATACCGTGGTATACTAAATTATTAAATTATTAAAGATTTAAATATAAATCATCATTAGAGCATATAAAACTGTAAATGTGACAAATGTCAGTGGTCAAAAGTTCTCTATTTTCCCTCATAAAAAGTTTAAAAATATTTATCCCCCAGAGTTACATAACACTAACACTATAACGTCACCAACAACACAACAGCTGCCCACATAGTTGTTTCTAGCTTATTCCAGCAGAACTGGATAAATGCCATTCTATTTCACATTATAGATAATAGTTAATCAAGAAAAACAATAATGTCTCTGTTAATTGTACCAGTAGAGCTAATCTTCTCCACCACCCCCGCTCTACCGCAGAAGTAGCCCCCTAGGGTACTTGTACCCTGATTGTGAATCACTGACTGAATGACTTAAAAATGTAAAACCACATGTAAAAATTAAATTCATAAATGCAGCCTGTGCACACAGATACTGCACTCTAAAAGTATTTCATGCTAATATATACAATAAATATCTAATGTTATGAGCATGGACTACAGCAGTTGTAGTTTGTTTCCTATAAAAGTCACCATCAGAAACAGCCATATAAGCTGTTAGATGACGCTCAATTTCTGCACAAAAGATGGACAGCTAGAATTGTACCAACTAAATGGAAACTTTTATCCAGTGGAATTGGCAATTGCCCATTCCTTAGTAAGAATGCCAAGGCCAGAGCTGCTGAACCAGACAGCAGAGTCCCTGCATGTGTGGTTGTATTGTAGCCTGCAGGGCTGCCATTGTGTCCTGCTGACTGTCTGCAGGCTGAGTGGGCATAGAGAAAGAGTCGTTCCCTAGCAACATGTGAGCACAGCCCTCAGCTTCTCTCCGATCTGACACTGAATTCCTTTGAGGACTGTGGAAAAAAAAATTGGCAAAGAGAAGAACATCATAAAAACTGTCTGTGTAATGCTGGCGCACTCGGATACCATCTGAAGCTGCAAGAGGTGAAGAGACAGCACAGCGACTGGGCATACCTAAAACCTCTGCTTTGGTGTTTACAATTGCAGATTGCATGCAGTTATTACAATATTACTTATTTTTGCTTTTGAGTATGTTTCGATACACCTACTTGTTAAACAGGAAATGCATGATTTTGTTTTACTCTTAATTTTATGACTTCTATTATGTTGCACTGGGCTTTAAACACCATTTTTATTCGAATTAACATTGGAGTATTTTTGGTTTATTCAGGTGTCTTTTTGGGCGTTTTAAATATATTTCTGAACACTGAAATATCATCTTGTTTAGTACACAACTCAACAGAGATGGGCAGTAACGCGTTACTTGTAATGCGTTACTGTAATCTGATTACTTTTTCAAGTAACGAGTAAAGTAAGGGATTACTATTGCAAAATCGGTAATTAGATTACCGTTACTTTCCCGTAGGAACGCTGCGTTACTGCGTTACTAAAACCGTGATTTTTTTTTGCGAGAATGTCTCATGACAGTGACGTAAGCAAGTGCGACGTTGGTGACAGCAGCTGTGTGCAGATCAACAATGGATAATATATCGAGTGCGGGAGAGAGTATGAGCGTGCAGCGTTTAAAGTGTGGAAGTACTGACCTTACTTTGAGTTTGATTCCATAAAAAGTGACAAAAACATTAGCGTCCATCGTGCGTGGGAAGAAAACTTCTTTTTACAGCGAAAAAAACCCCTAAACTTCCGAGCAAGCACCGAGTAGCTACGACGTGATGGGAAACTCACAGAGACACTCGCGCGGATTCTTCAACTGACCGCAGCACACCTACACCAGGGTAACCCTCCGCCTACCCTGCTCCTGCTTTACAGGTGAAAATAGAGCAAAAGGACCGCTGAGTCTTTGACTTTATTTATTTTCTGCTGTGTTTTACTTGCATCTGTTTGAAAGAGTGAGTGAAAACACAAAAAATATTTTATTTTATGTGCTGGAATGTGTAGAAAATAGGTTTAAATGTTAAACTAATTTATTCAAGTCAGAGAATGTTGCATATAATTAAATGTTTTGCTTGATGCATAAAGTTAAAAGATTAAAACTGATAAAACAAGTTAAAAAAAGAGACTTTTCCATTTGATTACATTTTGTATGATGGATTATGTAGAAAAAGTAGAATTGGGCTGAAAGATCTATCACTTTATCACCTCTTCAGGTTGTAAATCGTGTTTTTAAAAAGTAACTAAGTAACTAAGTAACTAAGTAATTAATTACTTTTGAAAATAAGTAATCAGTAAAGTAACGGGATTACTTTTGGGGGGAGTAATCAGTAATTAGTTACTGATTACTTTTTTCAAGTAACTTGACCAACACTGCAACTCAATGTTATTATACATGTTTATGCATTTCTATTTGATTTCAAAAGCTTTTCACTTTGCATAATTACAACTTTTGGACATTTAATGCTTTTATTTATGTAGCAGCTGAGAGCAGAAATGAGACAGGAGACAGATAGAGGTATGGCATGAAGCAATTTTCTCTAGCCACACAGGAAGCAGGAACTCAGTGTTCATTTGTTTAAAAGGAGCAGTTTGATATTTCAGGAAATGTCCTTCCTTGCCTAGAGCTCATTACATTGTCGTGAGTCCCCAGAGTCTGCTGAGTGCCAGGTAAATTCATGGTAACAACACGAGGGCTGGAAGCCTTTTCCACCTCCAGTCTTTGTAATCACTGTATACACTGTACATGTATATACCATTACCTCTGCACTACAGGCACTGCAGTATTTGTAGTAATCTGTATTTATTTATCCTACTCTTTTAAAAAAAAAATTACATATATTTTCTTTATTTATATAGTTTATTTTTAATTAGTGTCACCTTATGTGTAATTTTGCTTTTTTCCTACGTGCAATATTGAGCGGGCTCTGAACCTAAGAATTTCGTAGCCTGTAATGATGTAACATTGTTACCTCTATATGACAAATAAAACTTGAAACTTGAACTAGAAACAAATGTTACTTTCTCTAATGATCCTTTTAGCCTTTTCATAGTAGTTTCTGCTTGCAGTCAGCTTAAAGTCCACTAAGCGATCACTTTTAACAAGGCTTTGCAGAGACTGCAGGCACTGACCTGACACCTCGTACAGATGTGGCGCTGAAGTTCCACTCATGGATCCCCTTGTTCTGCAGGACAAGTCAAATCAACAGGATAAATCGTTAACTAAACATTATTGCGAGCATTATCATAAGAATCAGTCCACTGGATTATATCATTGGCGCTTATTTAGTTCGTTTACTAGCACGACTTCCCTGGCGAGCAACCATTTACATTGACGTGTAAGCTGGGAATAATGAGCAATAACATATGAAAACAATCGAGAAGACAGAGGCATAAAGCTTCATTACAGGAAGCGACAGTCCATTATCACAACACAGCATCTCCCCAGATCTAGAAGAGACATGATCACGATCTCAGCTTTCCTGTTTCGTTAACATCTGTCGCCTTATGTGACATTATCTGTAGTTCATCATTTACTGTAACCAGTGGAAGCATCAGTATGTTTGCTAACATAAAACAGAGTGATGAAACCAGCACAGACTGTTGAGGTGCACCAGCGTAGGATTTTGTTTTATTTTTCTATGGTTGCAATGAGAGTTTTTTCTTTCTGTTACCCATATTCCTATTAAAAGCAAGCAAAATACATATATACAGTACATAAACCTATACTCAGTATTATGCAGCAAATATATTCTTTAAATAATTTTACTGCAGTGGGACACGCACCTTGTCATCAGGCGCAACGTGCCAGATTGACACTGTGTTGTCATCCACGTCTTTGTTTATGGACAAATATGAAGGCTGGTACACTTTAGTTGGCTCCAAAATCAACACCTGGACAAGACATATATGCATTGCACATTTAAAACCTTTAATTTTCTGAGCTTGCATTGCATTTTTTTTTTTTGTTTCCACATTTTAACAAAAACTCAGATGTATTATTTCATGTTAATCTGTGTTTCTTACAGGAAATCGAACAGAGGAGACATCTTTTTTGGTCGCCTCCACCAGGAAGTCCATCCAAAAGTCCACCAGCTCCTGTTTGTAGGAGGGCTGCTCTACGCTGGGCTTGTTGAAGTGCTGAAAGATCAAGATGGTCTCCACCAATGACCGCAAATACCTGGAAGCAACAGAAGTATTACCAGATAACAGGAATAAACAACTTTACTGCTGTGGTATATGTCTTTATGGCTGCTTTGCAAATAGTTGCCATCTAATATATAAATGCTGACAAACTGTCAGCTTATTGCACTCAGTCTGAGTCAATCTGTGCCGACGGCCACAACTTGTCTGTGAAACATCTCTTTGTAATAGGGGACTTGATTCAAGTTGGTTACCAAATGGTTGCATTGTAATTTCCTGTAGACTGACTTCATCTTATTAATGCTTTATCAACATTTTTAAAGTTCCATTCTGACTCGGACAGCAGTCCCCTGGTCTTCAAAGCAACATTTTTAAAGGTAACAAGATTACAAGTTCATCGGACAGGGTTGCATTAATTTCACGCCGCAGTTTCCAACCAATGTTTTCCACAGTGTGACTGTAGAATTACAAAAACATGTGATATGAAGACAGAGAAAAGAGAATACCTTACTGGTAGATAACTTTAGCGTTGTTTAAGGAAAATTGCTAACAAATAAACACTTTAAGATATGACTGCGTTTCTATGCTGGAGCCTGATTTTGGTGTGATGGTTTTCAGAGCACTAAAACAAACACAAAACAGCTGGGTTTCATGCACTGTAGAAAAAAAAGAAACGTTTTTATTATTTTCCTCCACATGTTGTACATAAAGTATCATAAAATCTGTGTGAAGTCTGAAATTACCACATGCCTTGCGGGCAATTACAACTATGTTCCACCACCGTGAAGGCATTATGTTACGATGGCGTGAACGGGATATTGTCATGTGGCATCTTTCTTTAAAACACATCTAGACTTGCAGGCTAGCTTGGGGGCCTAAAGACGAATATGCGCTATAAAAAGTGTAAAAAAATATCAGTTCTCAGTTTTATCTTTGGAGAAACGTTGTACCACACTTTTGACAATTCACAAAAAATTACGACACCAGGCTTTTATATCCTTCAAATCTAAAATGTAAAGACAGAGATACTGTTCAAATGAGCAAAGTGGCTTTTTTTGGTGACTTTTTTCTTTGTTCTTCAAATACACCAAATGTTTGCCAGTGGCCACAGATGGCTGCTTTAGTTTCAAAGGGAAGCAGAGCAGACTTCATATGACAAACAGAGAGTCACAGTTGGTGATGGAAGTGGTCTAAAATGCATTTTTTAGCATGCTAATTTGAACGGATTGTGTTCTCACCATATAGGGGCTTTAAGCTTGAAGAGTTTCTCAGAAGCCTGGATGACCAGGGTGCTGTCACTGGCCAGGATGCTGGCACCCAGGAAGAAGCCCACATCCCAGTAACTCTGCAACTTGTCCAGGCTGCCTTTTTTACCCAGCAGGCTACTCAGCTTAACTCCTGCAAACAAGACAAACAATTTAATGCTGGTGAAATATTTTGTTCCATTTCCATGTGGACCATAGGCAGACATGCCAGTTAACAAGAAAGCCAAAGAAAGACCATGCTGTACTTGGGTGTGCCACAACTCGCACTACAGCAGCCTAGCTATATTATTATTTTTATTAGAACTGCTAAGATAAGCAGCAGCTACATGTTTTGCACAGCCTGCTGCAGAAATCTGCCATTTGGAGAGACAGTGGGGATCTTATGAGATAACCCCAGGGATGCATAAAGGGATGGAGGGTTGGGTTAATTTAGAGAGCTGCGGGCCAATTCCCAGAAAAGCCAACTCTAATTCCCAGATTCCGGAGTTCCTCTGAGCCTCAGACTTCAGAGGGAAAAAAAGTGTGGGCAAAAGCTCAGCTACACGCCTGCCTGACTAAAAAAAGGAAACAACTATACATTATTTGATTTTGCTTTATTGAAATATGCATAATAATAACAAGGTTTAAAAATAACTTTATTTAACAAAGTTTTCCAACCCATAACTTTACTCCCCTGGTTCATATTTGGCATTCCAACCTTATCCTAATAGCATTCACCTGCAGGAAGTCACTTTCTGTCAAAAAACCCCTCTAATAAATGACTCGGCACACTCTACTCTGCACCAAATGACAGGCATACACAGTTAGTGGCTGTGTAAGGAACAATTAGCAGCATATATCTCCCTCTTGCCTTGCTGAACTAAAATGAAGCTAACAGGAAAGTGAATTTTGGAGTTACATCCACTTTTGTGGTCAAAAAATCTGTTAAAGATTATCACCATCCACTGTGTCAACAGCTGACACGCTGAATGTGTTAGCAAACACTATTAACACACTCAGCAAACACATAACAAAATTATCTCTCATTTGGAGCCGTGTCTCTTGCCACTTGGGTGAATTAAATGAATCCAATTTTCACTTCCTCTGCATTTGTTCTGGTTCCAGCTAACTCCAAAGATTTGCTGCCCTCGGTTCCTCTAGACTTTGTACAGTTGTTGTTTGGCGTTGAGTTAGAAGCATATGTGAGTTTATTAGAGGTTTTCCATTAAAAACAGCTGCTGCCATAGCAAAGGTAGTTCATTTGACAGCAAGTTAGAACAAACGCAATGAGCTGAAAGATGCTAAACTGCACTTTAGCTGTGAGGGGAATTGTTTCTCTGTGGGTGACGCAATTTTCATTTCCATTCATATAAGTTATTTATTTGTGCAGCTTTAACTGACCCCTATTTCCACGTTAGGATAACAATTATCGTGTAAATTACAGACAAAGGACTGATTAGACTGATTAGAGTTTGATTACTCAGTGGTTAGTCAGCAGGCTTAGTGTAATAAAATGAAAAGCTGCATATTTAGGACACAGACCAAAGTAACCAGGGTCCACTCACCCACTTTGCGGAGCTCGAACGACGTGTCAAACTGGTGTCCAGCTGCCAGCAGAAGAACAGCATAGTTGATACCAGAGTGTAGTGTTGGCTCTGACTCAAACCCCTTTTTAAACCTGAAAAGAGGAGAAGAATGATTCACATAAACAGTTTTCTTCCAAGAAATGCGTCATTCCAAATCCCAAGCATCCCTGAGATAATGGATGGCTTCCCAGGACTCCCCCGGCTTTCTGAGACACTTCAAGATAGAAAAAAATAATTACAGCCATATTGAGTTGGGGGCCACAGAACATCAAACAGCAACTGTGAGAACCCCCACAAAACAAGAAATTTCATTTATTTAATGAGCAATCTGTTCTGCGGAGGGGAGGGGTGCGAGCGTTATTAGAGGCCTGTGCCAAGTTGTGACACGGAATTGGAAATAACAGCCAGATGGGAGCCTGATTATCTAAGCAGTCAACAAAGATATGAAATCTTAAAAAGCAATTTCCAGATAAAGACAATCAGCCGCCTTGTGTTCTCAATAAGCCGACTTCCGTCAGCTAATGTTAGCCTTGGTGCACTCGCATCACAGCAAAAAGTGAACAAGTAATTCCTCTCAGCCCCTCAGTGTGGTGATTCGAGGGCTTACAGAGAATCAAAGAGCTCACACAGCACTTTCATAGGAGATGGCAAATTTGAGAGTTCAGTTTCAACAAGCTGCTGGAAACCCTGCAAATGCATCTTTCTTTGTGCTTACTCATTAGTGTCAAGCTGACTTAGCTAGTTTTTGGGTAGCAAATATCCAACTCGATCATATCCAAAAGGTCCCTGCAAGTTGTCAGGCTCCAAAAAATGTTAATTAGAAAACGTAAACACCAGAATGTTAATTTACTCACACTAATCTCTTTATTAGATGCCAAACTGTAAGAAGACACAGAAACCTTTAATGTAAAAGTGCAACCAAAAGGATTTCTGACTCCACCCACAAAAAGCTGATTTTAACTCCTCTTTTCTCCCTGGAAGTCCTGATGAAGGTTGATGACAGATCATTTAGTGAAGCCCTGTTCTTACCACTTGCTGTGATCCATCTTTGATGCACGTTGGGTCTCCTCCACTGTGTTAATACTGAAACTCGGTTTCCATTTTGGGGAGAAAGACGACTTTACAAGGGGTAAATTTGATGAGCTGGGTGGGAGGCAAAACCTCCTCCTCAGTGTGGAGTGAATGGCACACAACAACATGAAGAGTGCTGAAAGGTCACTGCTGGATGCCTCCATAGTTTACTCTGACAGCTGGACACTGGAGGATAAACTTACGACTGCCATGAATTTTGAAGAAACGATGTGCATACATCTCATAAGACGTACGCATACATCCTCTGACCTGATGCACTGCCCATACACTTGCCTTACACTGATGACAGCTGCTAACTGGACCATAATAGATCCTCGCTATTAAAATCAGGTCAGCCTGATATTTGAAATCCAGGATAAAAACTGTACGGAGAAACTTTTGAACAGCAGCTGCAATCAAAGTTGTCCAGATGTAAAAATGAAGACAGCCATGAAGGGGAAACTAGCCAAGTATAAATTGTCACTAAAATTCACTCAAACAAATACTGCTTCTAGTTAGGATTAATATAGGACATACAAGACTATATTATACTTGACTTATTGAAACACAGTTTAAAAATATGAGACTTCTTGAGAGATGGCAAATCATCCCTAAAGTGGTTTCCCAAGGATAAAAGACGAGACACAAGAAAGATTCAGCGTGGCAGCAGTTTTTGTGCCAATGCCGCTGAACTTAATGTCTTTTATTTCTGATTTTATTGTTCTAATATGAAGCTACAACAGTCTGATGTTACCCAAACCAGTTTAACTTTATTGAACTGAAAAGTTTCAGCTATTTTTGGTCACACTAGGCAGTGTGGAAGTGATGCAGAGTCTTCAAATAGCAAGGGTTTGTGGTTCTACAGAGATATTAGACAACTAGGACACTTTCCTGAATCATGATGCCATTAATCTTAACCTGTACCAATATTTATATTCACAATGGGGTTTTTTTTTCTTAAATAAATGCTAGCTCACCACTTCCTGTTGCTACCAGCAGCAGAAACCAGGCAGCTCAGCTTAACATGCACAAAACATTTAGCAGCTCAAACTATTGTCACTGCTAATGTTTGCTAATTTTACATTTCAGTCATCTTGGTGTGTTATCCATGATCCCTGTAGTCTGGATTTTAATGGTATTGTTCTTATGTTGCTATGAGGTGTTGTTGTGCAATCTCAAAGAATTTTGCACACTACGTGGCTGTGGTTTATTCACAGACTCATTACCAGCAAAGGGTTTTACCTTCATGATGAGAGCCATTATGAAATCCTGCATTGACTGACACCATTCATGATAAACTCTTAATGGTGTGATCTAGTGAGTCACTGTACTTCCCATGCACCCTGCCCTTAGAAATGGTAATTTTTGGTGACTCAGAATGTGTTTGGCTTAGCAGAAATGTCACATGCACACTGACATCCTGCCTGCTCTCTTACCAGAGTGCGCCGTTGTCTCTGCTCTGTGTGTTGGTAAAGTCTGACTCCAGGAACGTGTCCTTATAGATACGTCCCACCAGGCAGTACATGTCACTCGCTACCTGCTCCTCGCCTTCCACCAGGGGCAGCATGATGTCCAGGGCTTTCTGCCTGTCGCCCGGAAGGTTCCTTCTATAACCACACACAGGAAAAAACACAAAAAAGCATGTAACAAGTTAATAACTAACCCCCCAAAACAGCTTTGAGCATATCTAGAGATATCAGTGGATTTAGGTTTGTTATTATTAACACTTATTAATCTTAAAGGGGACTTTTATACCAGTGTCCATAAATTCACTATATCAGTAAGCTCCTTATCCCAGTCCCTTACCAAACTTTCAAAACACTCAGAAGTTAATTACTTGTTCTGAGTGAAAATGTATCTTCCTTTTTGTTTAAATTCTGCTTGTGGTCAAAGCCCGAAAGGGAAAGTACTTCTTTTCGTCAGCAAGGTGTCTAGGCTCAATGGTATCTGGTAAGGGTGGCTCCTGTACACCTCCACTTGAAGGTTTTATGGGCACACCCATTTGCAATCACACCCAGAAGTTTCTGGAGAGATTATATTTGCTCATTTAGCCTGAAAGCACCTTTGCATCTCACAGACAGTAATAGAAAATTACATTCTCCACTGCAACCAGACTTTCTGCAACCAGACAATCAGAACTGATGCAGCTAGTTAAAATATATTTCATATTTTTGCATTTATAAATGTTAATATTTTTTGTATCATGCTTTACACACAATCCAGGTCAGCCGTGCTACAGTTCCAGGGAGATTTGACTTATCAGGCATGTGGTAGACACCCTGATTTAATATTTATTTTACTCCAAATGGAAAAAATAACGAACAAAATAAATGTTGTGCTGTGTTGGAGCAAACTTAAAACCAGCAGATGAGATCATAAACTGTGGTCATTGAGGTCACAAAACAAGTGAGAAACAGGATCATTTTCTTATAGACTTCTATTAAATCTGTTTTCAATTTACAACCAGATGGTGTTACCCCCTACTGGGCATTACAAAGAATGCAATTTTGCCCATGCTTAACTCTTTAGACCGGCAGGCTGTGCTACTTTTTCCTTGCTTCAAGCAGATGTGAGCTACAAAGATGAGATTATTTCTATGCATATCACATCTCATATATGCATTAAATCCATTACAAACCTGCATTTAACTTGTACTGTACGCTCCCCTTTGAATCACTATTGTTGAACAACTGTCTTACATAATCACACCAAGAGTTAATGTATTTTCAAAGCCTAAAGGGTAAACATTAAAATGGTACATGATGGCATTTAAAATACAATTTCTAGAACATGAATAATGACTTATAGTTTTACTGCATACTTAAAAGCTAATGAGACTCAAAGAAATGGCCAAATGACCATGTATATTCTCAAGTGTATAAATAAATAACTGGTTTGAACAGATTGCATTAAAATGAGCATCACCAGCAGCATGCATGTGCATGCGGTGTAGGTGTGTGGAGCAGATAAATATGTGTGTTTTGCGTGTGAGTAGCAAGGGAACAGCTGCAAAGGTATTGTTATTGGACACTAATACCAGGCACAGAGGACGCCACCAGGACCTTAAATTACAGAGGTGACTGGGTTCATTAAGAGAATGCCCAATTTTATTTAGCACTGTGAAGTTCCAATTGCACCACAGGTGTTCAATGAGGGACTAAATGATCAGTTATAACTGACCTGCGAGGAAATAATTTGAGACTCTCTAACGAGCAGTCGAACTGGAAAATAACAAAGAGAGAAAAAGGAATCTATTATGGTATTAAAGAACGAGTGATAACCTCTTCAGTTGGTAATTGCTTACATTACATGGATGTTAACTTTTTCACCGGGTGTCAACAGAAGACATGTTTAACGCTGCTGCTTCATAGTAACAGGAATGCAAATAGGAAGATAGACTGAATTATAAATCTGACTGTCATCTCAGTTGTCTTGATTTATTAGCTACATGAATTATGTTTAATATACCAACTGTTTCCTATAGAAACAGTTGCTACAGGTACATGTTGAGTTTTCAAATCCATTATCTTTTTCTAAACCGACATTTAAACCACAAATGTCAAACTTACTTTAGTTACCAGACATAATATTATGACCACTGACAGGTACGTTAATAACACTGATTATCTCTTCATCAATGCACATGTTAGTGGGTGGGATACATTAGGAAGGAAGTGAACATTTTGTCCGCAGAACTGATGTGTTAGAAGCAGAAAAAAATGGGTAAGCGTAAGCATTTGAGCGAATTTAAAGCTGATTCTGACAGAAAGTTGTCCGAATACACAGGGCATTGCAGTTTGCTGTGTATAGGGCTGCAAAGCGGCAGATCAGTCACGGGACCCGCGTTGACTGCCGTCCACCACCGAAAGCACCAAAAATGGCAACGTGAGCATCAGACCTAGACTACAGAGCAATGGAAGAAGGTCGCCAGATTCATCTTCGTCATTTACTAGAGGAACACCTTGTACAGTGTTGTTTCTTTTAATGTAAAGAACTGCAAACCATAGTTTTCAGTCACGTGACTGAATCACTTCCCTGGCAGGCAAACATTAATCCACTATGACCGGAAAGAATGAGAGTATTGCAGGACAAAAGTGTTGTTTTTTTCACTTGTCTCAGGCCAAGACTATTTGGATCATCTATCCGTGGAGGGAAAAACGAAGATTCAAAGATAAATCTGAATTTTGGGGACTTGTGGTTCATATTCTGCCTTTATTTAAATCCCTGAAAGTGGCGACAGAGCTCCAGTTCAGTGACATCTACATCAGTCTTGTAGAGAGTGACTCATCCTAAACTGCTGCCAGGATGAAAGCCATCAAAGTATGTACAGCTACATGTAATTTCAATCTAGATGGGTAAATAATACTGTCGTGCGAAATTTTTCGTCGTTAAAGCAAAGCTAGCTTAAACTACAGCCCTGGAGTAAGTCATTCCATTAATTCTACGACTCTGGCTTGATGGATGATTTTCTGAGACGTGCCTCTCAGGATTTGTGTCCACTCCTGGTCTGAAACCAGGGAGTTTTTGCATATTAGTTGAACGTTTACACCATTACACTGTGAAGCCACTTTAAAAGAAGCAATTAAATACATTTTAAAAAAGCAAACATAAATTAAATAAAATACTGAACTGTGATCACATAATGGTTTCCATACGACTTCTCTCTGCAAATGCATTCCTTATTATGTTTTTTCCCCCCCTTTCACACAGACTGTTTACCTGCAGGGAAATAAAGCCTGTTCAAACACGATTGGTCAACAGAAGTTGGATCACAAATAGAGACCAGGAAGCTTGTGGTTAGGTGCTTGACTGAAGGTGGGAGGAGCGGTGGCCTGTCCTCCTGAATGCATCACAGAAAATGTAAAATGTTCTAATTATGAATGCTAAACAATACAATAAGTTTAAAAATGTATAGCTTTCCTCGCAGTGTTTTTACTTTACTTTTTAATGTGATATTCAAACAAAAGACAAAGTGATACACCGTTTCACACATGTAAAGTAATTTACTGATTTCAGTGTGTCAGTGTGAAACCATATTGTGGCCTATCCCCAGAGATCTATCCCCAGTTGGTTTATTTATTTCTGATTGAATTTTTCTGATTTCCCAAGGCACCCCCCTTGCACCTAGACCAACCTTTGCTTTAGTATTGTGAAATCAAAAAAGGGATTTCTTTTTTAGCAAAGCTTTTCAGCAGTTTTGAACGAAGGAGATAAATGCTGCTGTCCTCAGGTCAGTAAATTGTTTGGAGCGTCTATAAAAAACAACATTTTGAGATTACAATTGGTGTTGCACACATTTTATTTTATGTAAATAACAGCTAAAGTATGGATAGGACAAACAGTATTTATTAATCGGAAAAGATAACAGATTGTGTCCAAAACACAGACTTGGGAGAAGAAATGAGAGGTGATATCCTGCAGAGTTTCACACAGACAAAATGTGTGACAGTCATGAAAAAAACCCTCCTTATTAACATAACGTGGCTTCTCTCCAGGGCGTGAAGGTTAAATAAAACATATGAGCTGACAGCTATTACCATGGAGACTGCCCAGGGGGAAGAGCAACGAGGGAAACAAGATCTGCTCTTCGAATGCATCTCTCCGCTTCCCTCTTTCTTTTCTTCAGAGTGCTGATGGATATTTGGAAATGGGGATTTTTTTTCCTCGATCTCATCAGGCTCTTAGCAGTAAGACCTGCACAGCAGGCCTCCAAGCAGAGCTGAAGCCTGAGGCGGAAGCCCCTTCAACCCACCAGATTCATTTAGAAGCAGAGCACCTACTTTAGATCAATGATTAAGTGCCTATTAAGGCTAAATATTGATAATCTCAAGGCATGGTGTGGGCTGCATGCTGCTTACTCAGAGCTCATTGAAGGTAATGATTTATACGACTGCATCTCAGTGAAGGAATTCATTCAGTTTCACACTCAGAACAGAGTAGATTATTTGACTTTACTATTCTATGGTGCCACCTTCTACAAACTATTATCCGAAGGCAGTTTATGAGTAATTTGAATAAAAGCTTTGAAACAGGCTTAAAAGAAGAGATTGCATTTCCAAGGATATAATTCTACTTCTGCGTGATTATAAATACATAACATAGAGCTGCTAGTGTTCTTTTTAGCAATAGAGGCAATAGCTAGAACATCTATGGGCATGCTCAAATGCACAGAGGCTTCAGGGATGAGTGCTAACGATTGTGTGGAAAACATAAATTCTTTTGTCTGATCATGCAAATCAAATATTTGGCACTTCAGCACAACGGTGCAAAAATCACGCCTAGCCTTTATGGTGTGTAAAATTATTCCCAGAAATCTTACAGGGGATACCAATGAAACAGAATATGCAGGTGTGTGCTTCCAGATATGTGATATGCTGTGTTTGTGTTTTTATGTTTAGTTTTAGTTTTGTTTTTATGAATTTTTAGTGTTAGTTTTAGCTTTTGGTATCGTGAGAACAATAATTACACAACAGTTAGGATGATTCTGATTCCTGCTTTCTAGTTTCCAGATGCTTTAGTTCTTGTATTAAAGTTCTAGTTTTGTTTTTATGGAGTTTGTATTTGTGTGCAATTTCCTCCATGTTTTCCCTTACTGTAATCAACAGTTTAATATTTGTGTTTTTGTTTCGGGCTTAGTGTTCTCGCCACCGTTGAGTCCCTTCTCTACTATGTTTTTGTGCAGGTTTTTGCATCTCTGTGTTCAGTTGGGTTCTCTTGTCATTCCTGGTTTTACTTTGATAGTTAGGTGAATTTCATTTCCTCCCCCATCTCGTCGTCATGACTGTCTACACCTGTGTCTTGTCCACTCTGCTGTTTCTGTTTCTCTGATGTGTATAAATAGTCCCGTCCTTTTTTTTTAGTCATGGTATTTGTGAATCTTTCCCTCATTTTCCCTGCCTCCCTGTTTGAATTTAGAGTCCCTGTTGTTTTTTGCTTTTTTGGGTATATTTGTATTTTCTTTTACAGTGTATCTTACCTATATTTTACCTGTGAGCTGTGTAGCAGAATCCCTATGTCATTACCACATTTGATATTACTTTATTAGCAGTTATTCAGTGGTCCCCCCCCCCTCCCAAAAAAAGTAATTTGAATATTAAAGTATCCAAATTAAAAATACTCATTATGCAACTTGGTGCATTTTAAAATAATGCGTATCATATCATTGGATTCCAATTGCATAAACATACAAGCTGCATGTTGCAGCTTGTATGTGGGGATATGTGGTGCTTTTTATACTGTTTGGCAGGTCAGTTTTATAATAATACATGGTAATTTATTCGTTTTTTTCTATTTATTTGTCTTTAAAGTTGCTACTAAATGCATACAGTAAAATAAAGTACAGTAAAGTTAAAAATATAATTACTGGCTCCAAAAGTCTCAAAAAGAAGATATGACCTATTTACCACCTTTAGTGCACTCAAAATCTATTTCTCCCTCCCACCAACAAGAACAAATCAGACAACAACACAGTTACACCACCTGTGGCATAACAATCTCCTGGAACAGCTATTGTATTTATGCAATGGTTTACTTGCTGAATAGGTGAACTGACATAAATGCCCTCCTACCCTCTGCTCATGTCGACCTGCTCTAACACTGGAGGATACAACTCAACCTCACCAAAGACACAGAGTTTTCCATCATTACCGCTCATTCAGTGAATTGGTCTGACAAAATGTCTCGGTATGCCGCCTCGAGCTCGCAAATGCAATATCATATAGTGGGAATGGAGCAGCTACTAACAGCGAACACACGGGCATCTTGGCACCCTACAGAAACATTTTCCATTTGCTGCCAAATTAAAGAACAGCATGCTTTATTGCTGTTTGAGGCAGTCACACCATGAAAACCGCAGGAAGTTTACAAGAAAAGCAGCTGGTGAGAAACAAGCAGCCAAAACCTCCTGTTTTGTACATCTGTCTCTTCCTGAGACGAGTACTGTAGCTAGACGCGCACCGATAATGTCACAGCTGCTTAGAGACATACATTTAGGATTTCAATACTGCTCTGCTAACGCAGGATAAATGAAACCGCTAGAATATATTTAAAGAAAACCCTGAACACCATGAAAAATACTCTGTGACAGCCCTTATGATACTTAGAGAAAAGACTAGGACAAAGGAAAAGAGTGCATTTGCTTCACTGTGTTTAGAAGTTTTTATTCCAGGAAACCTGGGTGTGTTTTGTGAAAGGTACTTAAAGAAAAAGCAGGTGTGTTTAAGTGTATGTCATTGCTTCTCTTCAAAATTTAACAAAATCTTTTTGATACGGTTAAATATTCTTTAGTTTCACATTCTGATAACTTAGTGATATCTTAGTTTACTCTTCATGCATCAATAAAGCATCTAGTTTTATGTAATTTAAATGAAAGCCTTTCAGCGTGGCAAAATTGCCCATCTCTATGACAACATCTGTGTGAAGCATCTCACCAAAGATTTCATGAGGTGGGAGAAAGTCAAAGACTGATAAATAAATAACTTGAAATATATAAAGACCAGCGCCTTCCCTCTATTTGATGTCCCTTATTCAGTACTCGTGGGTCACACCACAGTCTGTTGGAGCCTGACCATCATTCTCATGTGAACTGCGTAATGAAAGTTTCATGTCCATATCTTACACAGTTGTGACCCTATCAAACTGCCAAATTATGTGATGCAGTGAGCGAGAGGGATGACAGGCAGAAAAGCTTTTAACAGAACAGGCAAACATAGCAACACGAGTACAGAAAACAGGGATATGCTGAATATACAGTGTTAGCTCCTGCTACGGTAAGTGTCCCCAGGACTACTTTTCCCCACAGTGACAGATTTAAAAGGTGAACACAATACCAGCGACACTGTGGAGAAGACACATTACTCAAATGTCAAGGGTCGCAAAAAACAAAAACACACACTAAAAAGCTCCTACTGTAACATTTTTCATTAACGTTTTTATCTGTCAAACTGAAAATGTGTGCATGCTGCAGGGTTTCTGCAGGAAAGGTTTCTGTGGGGTCAGCTTTGGCTCAGTGGACTTTCAGAAAACCTGTTTTAGCCTTGCGACTATGGCTAAAGAACACTTCTCCAACTCCAACCCCCGACGCATGTGGCAAGGACTCCAGACCATTACAGACTACTGGACCACCAAACCCTCCCCTGTATCCTCTGATGTCTCCTTCCTCAACCAGCTCAACAACTTTTATGCTCATTTTGAGCGAGGGAACCCAACAACTACAACCAAAGCAGACATGACGCCAGACCACCAACCTCTGACTCTCTCCCCCACCGATGTAGGAATCAGAATCAGAATCAGAATACTTTATTGATCAGCGGTGCTGAGCAGGATTAATGTCCACAAGGCTGCAGGTCCTGATGGCATCCCCGGGCGTGTTCTCAGAGCGTGTTCTGGGGAGCTTGCAGGAGTGCTGACAGACATATTCAACCTGTCCTTGGCCCACGCTGTGGTACCGGCCTGCTTCAAATCCACCTCCATCGTCCCGATACCCAAAAACTCCAACCCATCTTGCCTCAATGACTACCGCCCAGTAGCCCTCACCCCCATCGTCACAAAGTGCTTAGAGCAGCTGGTCCTAGCACACTTCAAATCCTGTCTCCCCCCCACCCTGGACCCCCACCAATTTGCATACCGTCAGAACAGGAGCACAGAGGATGCAGTCTCCATCGCACTGCACTCTGTCCTCTCACACCTGGACAACAACAACAACACCACGGTGATTGGCCTCATCAGTGACAACGATGAGGCCGCCTACAGGGAGGAGGTGGATCGTCTGGCTGAGTGGTGCGACACAAACAACCTGCTGCTTAACACCGAGAAGACCAAGGAGCTCATCGTGGACTACAGGAGGAATGCTGACCCACATCCACCCATCCACATTAAGGGGACGGCTGTGGAGCGTGTGAGCAGCTTCAAGTTCCTGGGAGTCCACATCTCCGAGGATCTCATCTGGACGACCAACTGCTCCAAGCTGGTCAAGAAGGTTCACCAGAGCCTCTTCTTCTTGAGGACTCTGAGGAAGAACCACCTGTCCTCAGACATCCTGGTGAACTTCTATCGCTGCACCATCGAGAGCATCCTGACCAACTGTATAACAGTCTGGTACGGGAACTGCTCTGCCTCGGACCGGAAGGCGTTGCAGAGGGTTGTGAAAACTGCCCAACACATCGCCGGAGCACCACTTCCTGCCATAAAGGACATCTACAGGAAGTGGTGTCTGAAAAGGGCTGGGAAAATCACCAAAGACCCCAGTCACCCATCACATGGACTCTTCACCCTCCTGCCCTCTGGGAGGCGCTACAGGAGCCTCCGGACTAAGACCACCAGGTACTGGAACAGCTTCTTCCCCACAGCTGTCAGACTCCTGAACTCTGCCTCCTGACATCTGACTCACATTAGACACATGGACTGGAGATACAAACACCCACAACCACCTACACACAAACACACACTGGACAACTGTACCCTCATACACACAATAATAACATGGACTGAACAACCACCCACAACCACTAACACTTTATATAGCCTCTGTAGAAATTATCCACATATCTCGCTTATCTTAACTGCACTACTGTATAGCTCTGTGTAAATAATCATTCTGTACAATGCAATAAATTTTAATTCTACAACTGTTTATAACCTGCATATCTCATATTTCTGTATAGTTTTTTATTTCATATTTATATCCTGTTCATAGTCTGTACATACTTATAGTTATAGCATATTCATAACGTACCTTCATACCGTGTACATTATAACATACCATAATAGACCCATTTCTGTAATATACTTACATATCTATATTATTGCTAATATATATTTGTAATATATCTATATCATGGCTAAAGCACTTCTGGATGGATGCATCTGCATTTCGTTGCCTTGTACCTGTGACATGTGCAATGACAATACAATTGAATTTTATTCTATTCTATTCTATGCAGGTTGGTGGTACAGGTTTACACTGTGGATCTCTATGACACGTATGCTTGTTGCCTTACCGATTCAGAGCAAACGCGTAGTGGAACTTCACATGTGGATGAGCCATGGGGTCAAAGGTCGGAAGCTTCTCCAGAGTCTCTACCAGCTTCACGATGGACTCATAATCCTAGAAGGTAAGAAAAGATCGGCTATTGAGCTGTTCCTCCTGTCACTGGTGTATCTGACATCAATGACACTCTTGTGATGTCACAGCTTTGCAAGTTAAGGAAAAGAAAAAGAAAGGAGGAAGACATTTGCCTTCAGCGCTACCTGGCAGAAAGGCTTTCAGAAGTCACAGAAGATAACATTAAGTGCACCAAAGTCAGTGTAAGGAGCAAGTTAAATACGATCTTGTAGGAACACCACCGGTCACTGCTGAGCACTGTGGGACTAGTGCCCATGTACCTCGGTTCCAGTGCCCTCCAAACACACACTCTGACTCATCAGTGTATTTACTTGCTGCTTTGATCCTCAAGGGAGAGTTTCTGATGTCCTTTTATTTATTATTTCTGAGACTCAACTGTCTGTGTATCACAAAAAGCACTTCAATAATTGAGCTGCCTCTTCATCAGATTTTTGTTTCTTGTAGTCACCAAAGCCAAAGCACTTTGAATAATTCAGCACATCCTCAATGCTTATTGTTCTAATTAATGATTCATTAGACTGTGCACTGCCTATGGTGAGTGGGACGATCTGGACAGAGAAAGCCATGGCAATGCGGAGACTAAAGAGGAGAAAGAGCAGAGCGTTTAAGACGAACAGACCAAACGCTTCGCCTAGAGCACTCTACAGGCAGTCTGCAAATGGCCCCGCTTTGAGAAAGTGGCACTGGTAAAGGGATGGTGGAGATAGATTGAAGCTGATTCAGTAACCTTGCTTAAATTTGTACAGCAGATGTGTACAGTAGTTTCTTTTTCAAGGTCAGGGACATCAGCACGCACATTCAGTGCATCGGAGTTGACAGCTGGTTTAAACTTGATAAGGTTGTGGGTGATTAGCTAAATGCCTGAACGTTTATGGAGAAACTTTTTGGCATGCCCTTTTCAAAGTAAAGGCGTGGTGAAATTACCACGTTGAGTTTTTGTTTTGTTAGTATTAAATAGTAACTATTTGTTCCCATTTTTGGTAATTTTATAACATAATTACAATCACAAATTTTAGGAAATTGGTTATCAGAAAATGTAGTAGCAATTAATAAATCAATACATTAAAAAGTCAATTGAAGTTAATTGTTATCTGTAGGCATTTGCTCATTTTTTCCAGTTTATTGTAGTTGAAAAATCTAGCTTAGTATTCACTGCCATGAGGTCATGCTTAGACGCTGCCAAGGAAAATCAGCTGATGGTTCAGCTGTACATTTTGCAATATGCAATTCTCTAATCTCATATAGGGCGTGCCATTTAAGCTGTTTAGCCCGCCCACAGTTACAGTTTCGACAAGCAGCAGTGTGAGCCATCTCCACCACAGCCTCTCATTTCATGCTGTTTCCTGCCTAATCAGTGTTAGGGATTGTTGTCACTGACACCTGCTCTGCTCTGCTGTGTGCTGGAAGTCTTGCTGTTGCTCTCCTTGCCCTTTGCATTCCAAGTATGCACGATGAAGGGAAGTCCCAAAACAGAGCCATGCCAGCAAAGATTACGGCAAATTGAAAATAACAACCTTCTCGTGACTATACTGGTTCTGGCTGAACTGAACATTTTGTACTTTTGAATGTTTGTTCCAAAGAAAACAAGACATCAACTTTCCTAGGAACCTGTCCAGGAAATGTGACGGGTATTTTTCAGTATTTTTGAGATTGTTACATAGAATAATAAATCATTTAACTGAAACTAAACAAATACATAGCCAAAGTTTATTTTTAAGACTGCTGCCTTATCAAAATCGACCTATCATGAATATTTTTTTTTATGATTTTTGATGTTGTAGCACAGATGGATGTTCAGATTAAAGATAACTGAAGTCCTTATCTCAGGCACACAGCTTTGGCTTGCACTGTGTGTTTATGAGGGGCAGCCAATGAGAATAAAAGTGGCCTAAAGGAGGAGAAGCTGAAATAACTCATTTCAGACATGGAACAAAAAGGGAGGGGGGGTGCACCAAGACCCAGTACATGATAAACAAGGACCACTGAACCACAGCCCCTCTGGTTGAAATACCCAAAGGCAATACACATAATTTGACAAATGACAGCAATATGTCGGTGTTCAGGAAGTCCACACCCGACAGATGTACCTGGATGTCCCTGTACGTAAGCAGCAAATTGATGACGACATCAACTGAAAGGCACTCCACGTTGTCCAGCCGCTGCTGGATTCGGCTCAGCTCTGCAGCCAGTTCCAAGCCAGTGTAAAGCTCCCGGGCTCTACGGATCTCATTCAGAATCGTCTCACGGAAATACTGGCTGGAAGACACGAATACAAACAAACATGCATTTATAGAAGGAGAAGATTGGCTTGCATGTATATGATCGACAAATAGCAATACAAAAATTTAGCAAAAAAATGTTTTGCATACTTTAGGATCTGCTCCTTCAACTCTAACACAATTGGACTTACTTCTTTCCCTGCATTCTCACACTGTTTTGCATAATTTCAGATCATTCCCCAGTGAGACACGAGCTATTTTCATCTCATATAAGTCATAAATTATTCACTGACAGATGAAGGGACCAATAAACCTGATAACTTCAGATATTAGTTTGATGGATTTAAAAGCAGAGCAGACAATTAAGACAGTTAATTAGCTTAAAGCAGAATTACTACCAGCAACCATATTCTTAAGCTCTTAGTTGTTCTTGAAAAAACACTAAGGGATGAGCAAAAGAATATTAAAATACGTGAGGCGGTTCAGGTGCTTCCCATATGGAAACGAAATAGTAAAAACGTGTAAAAGACTTGCATAAGATGTGGCCTACTTCATATAGTGAATCATATAAGGCTTAAATGATTTACTCATGAAAGTGGCCACTTTCTCATTACTTTCATATATTGTTTTAATAAGTATCCAAAACATACAAGTTTCATTTATAGAATTTTTCAAAGGATCTTATATATGTTTTCACTCTTGTATGCTTTTCATACAAGTTTCACACGAGACAGATACAAACTTTATAAGATTTATATTTACCTTTTCCATATGGGTTAGCAAAAGCCTGTCTGTGGGATCTTTTAGATTTTCACCTTTAAAACCGCAAAACTGAAAACCTTCAGAAATCCTGTGAATTTGGACCATCTAAATTCAGTTAATTAGTATTTTCCAGTTGCAAATTGTGTCTTTTTTAATGCTGAATTTCTTTGGCTGTTTAATCAGCAGTTTGCAAAGGATAACCTTCTCATAATCGTCTCATTTTGATTGTGGAAAAACCATGTGTACTGGCATTAAAACTCAAAAGACTGATGCAGATTATTGTCACTCCCCAGCCTCTTGTATGCTGAACGTAGTGTACTCTAGCTTAAAATGATAATATTAAGACCTAAATGCCAAATAATGACACAGTCTACACTCTCTATTCACATAATTAAGCCTTATACACAATTTTGAAAAGACCCATGCAGTGACAAGGATTTGCTGCCATAACCCCGAGCCAATCCTGGGGGTCAACCCTGCTTGCAGGGAGTGATTAAAGCATAAATAATAACCCAATACAAGCTCTGTTATTAAATAGTAAATGTGTTTAATATGAACAGGCCGGCTAATATTTTCCTGTTTAGGTTGTTTTTCATAAAATATGAATAACAAATCATGTATTCGCATATTATGATCTGCTGCAGATGATCAGTTGGGTGTGTCCTTGCTGGAAGGAGCAATTTTAAAGACATAAATACATATATTTGCTTCATGTGAGACGGCTCTTGTAATTCAGTAAGCTTATCTGTCTTCTTGAGACTTCAAAACATGGTCTCGACTTCAATATACACCAAAAACAATATAGTGCAAACACTGAATTACAACTGTAGGATCTTCATACTTTCCTTTATGCCTATCTCCAGGAGACACAGCCTTCATCAATCTACATGATTTTCTTTTCTGCCTGTAAAACCTGAGTCACTATTCCTGGAGATGGACTAGAAATGACTGGCTGCTGTATCGCCTATTGGCAAGAAGGCCTAAAATATTACCCCAGCAACTGAGCCAAACAAATGTGTTTTTTTCTTCTTCTCTGGTTTCAAAATGTAAATTACCACGTAAGTAAGGCTGAAGGATCCACGCACAAAAACAATTAGAACAAGTAAAAATAGGATGAGTGGGATAATAAAATAAATGCCTGGTGTGTTGAAAAACTTCTAACAGAGCTGCTCAAATATAAACATAATGTTAAAATGCTAAAAATGGTAATGCTACAACAGCTCCTTCCTATTTGTGAATGTTCACCTTAAGTTGCATACAGTATAATGTAATTTATGTAAGGGCTGAACGATTATGGAAAATAATCTAATTGCGATTTTTTTGCCCCAATATTGCGATTGCGATGCGATATGCGATTATTTTTTAAGGTCTTTGTCTTCTGTATTATTAAACAAAGACAAGCAATACATCATATAGTATGGCCAATACTATATTACATTAATTTTAAACTGTTCTTTCCTGGAAGACAGACCTCTGTTATGATGACATGAGGTGATGCATGAATTGATGACTGACATTTTTATTTAACTTCTTCAATCACAACAGTATATTTGAACATACACAATAGTTTATTTTTAGCTTACAAACATCTGAGCATAAAGTGCTGACAAGGAACCCTGGTGTAAACATTAAAATGAAAGTCAGTACAATGTGCAGATTGCAGAAATATGCATAAAAAAAATCAGTGGCTTTACCACACTCAGTTTTTCGACATCTGTGAACTACTAGACAGTCATTCAATTAAAAAATAATATTAAATAAATAAAACTAATAAATAAAAAATACACACATCTTACTGATCTCTGCAGTCAGTAACATTACACATAAAGTGCAAACATAATAGCAATTGTATAAACACACACACAAACACGCCTTTAAAGTTTAAAGGCGTGAAATTGGACGGTCTAGTTCTGATTAGCGTCACCGCTGTCTCGGTGGAGTTTAATAAACTCGGCCGTCTGCTTCTTGCTATCTAAAATATAACCAGACACTGGTGTAAATTCTCGACTGTCTCATACTTCTGTTTAATAAGTTTTCTGTTTGACGTTTAGTCAGCTGTGTGAAAACCAAGGAGGAACCCACCCGGGGGATTAATAAAGTTTTATTTTATCTAATCTAATAACTTTAATCTCAGCCAAACCGATTTACTCACGAACAAACAAAACACTGAAAAAAGCCCAACAATAACATTTTTAGGTTGTCTAAGTGACTTATATATTACGTTTAACCCGAGCAGCGAAACTCCGCGGTGATCTGAAAATGATGTGCCGGGAGTTGTGCCGTTCTCGGCCGCATCAGTAACCCTCGAGCTCCCGGCTAGCTGTCGAGCTGGTGGGTAGCAGACGCCTCTGAAAACGTCGAAGCACTTTTGCAAATATGGGATATCTTGATAAACCGAGCAGATATTTGATGTTTACACAACTACTTTCTCGCCTGAAAATATGTTAAAAGTTTATTTTGTGACCCAGAAAGATTAGTATGAGTAATTTTAAAACTTAGTAGCGGCCGCCATTGCTGGAAACTGGAGTTTGGCTGGGCCGCGCTATGAATTCTGGGATATGGTAGTAATTTGGACAGCCTTCGGCGCGTCGCTGTGACGTAATCGGTCTACAAATGCGGCCTCAGGAGGATGCAGCCCATGAATTGTATAATATAATCGCAGTATAATCGCAGCCTTTGCGGTTAGAAAATTGCACTTGATCATGTCGCGATATTATCGCAAATGTGATATATCGTTCAGCCCTAATTTATGTAATGAAGCAATCATTTGGGCACTGCTTACCATTATGAAAACATATCACAGAGTCATATTGTGGGCATTTCCCATGCATAATATGACTCTGTGATAAACAATAGTGATCTTACAGTGCTTTCAGAGGATCATCTTGTCAGGAGCTTTAAATAGATTTTCTTTCTCTTTTGCTTCCTTTTTCTCAAACCCATTGCTGTACTGTCAGTATGTCCTTCATTTAGTAACACTAGACAACCTAAATATAAAGCTCTCAATACGTTCACTAAGACTATTTGTCTCAGCAAAGCCAAAATGCATTAAGGTTCAAATCTCTTCTGTTTCAATGTGTAGAGTTTACAAAACAGAAACTTTGAATTTTTACAAAAACAAAAAGGAAAATTGTTACAGGAAGCAAAGTAAATACAGAAATAGCTAAAGCTAAAGCAGAAACTATATTTGCTGTATTGCATTTAGCCTAGCTGAAAAACTGTGCACACTCTGATGAAACATGTCCTAACAGCTAACTTCAGATTGTTATTCCACACAGCATGCTGTTAATGTCACTTCTAGCAAAGCTCTTGTTGTTAATCTTAGATTAAACTACTGTCCAATTTGCAAATTATAGATTAATTTCTGTATACTGTAACAACAGACAAATTACTCTGTAACAATTCTGTGTAAAATCTGCCACAATATCTGCCATATTGTGCAAATAAGCAGGCTGTTAGTACTGACACTGCAATTTCACCTGCATTTTCCTCTAAAAGTTGTTTTAATGATGTAATTATTGTTTATACTGCATAAATCTGGTGTAGTTGAGAGACCTGGAAGAGACATCGAGAATCTTTTCATGAAGAACCGACGGTGCCAAATATGTAAATTAATATAGTATATGTTACCCATTTCAGCATAATAAAATCTGTATAAATGCCCAGTGGCATGATACGAAGCGAGGGAATATATGTGTTCAAAGTTTTGACCAGTACATGTAAAAAGGTCATAACAAGAAACTGGCTAAAACGTAATCCTCCAAGGACAGCTCAGCGGCTGGACATGTAGCAGAAGATTTATATTCCATGGAAAACAGACTCATTCGTTAAGGGTTAAAGCAAGCATGCATAGAAAACTATGGACCAAAGAGTCTGTTCAAAAGTCAAAACGCGTGTCAAATCTTTGTAAAAGTACTGATACTATTTTATGTCATGTTATATTTTTGGACATATATTTTATGAGAATCCACCATGGCTGGTGCAACCTTTCTGGAACAAGAGTTTTATCTTTGTGTTGCTCATTTTTACGGCTCATAAATAATGAAGAAAAAAAAAAAACAGGTTATTGCCCCCTACCACACCACTGCTGCACCACAGTCATGCACTGACACACAAAAACCCCCCAACAATATTTCAAAATGACAGGCAGTCGATTTTGCAAACTCAGGTGCAAACAAATCGGCTATTGCACGCTTGTTTGCACCTGAGTTTGCACCAAAGGAGTAGCAAACTTGTCCCAGTCGGCACCAGTGCAGTACTTTCAGAAGCTGCATTTTTAGGTCATAAGCAATGTCTTAACTAGGCCTAACACAGCTATCACAGTATTTCTGTGTTTGCTGTGCAGGAAAATCTAGCTTTTATCATTAGTCCTTTGTAGAGCATTACTGACGTCATAACCCGGGTGTTTCTATTGTTTAGCATCCCCGCTTGTACGCTATTATTGCTGAAATTTCTGGATTGCCTCAATAGGAAGTTTAATTTCACTTAATACAGTTTATATTTCTATTACAGCTGTCAGATATAAAGCGGATATAAATAAGCAAAATATACTTACTGGGAGTTGGCTTGCGACACTTTGAGGAGCTGGATGAAGCGGTCCAGCAGAGGCATGCAGATGGGACCCAGCAGCATCTCGAAGCTGGGCTGCATCAGCTCGGTCAGGCCCTTCATCAGGCTGCCCTCACAGCAGTACACCTTATTCTGAGGTGTCACCATGTACGGGATGAAGGTGTAGTTAGCTGAGCATGTCTGTTAAGAGAGGAAACAAAGTTCTGGATATCAGATATCAGCACATTTAAACATCTGTGAAATTTCTTTTTGTATGAAATTGTAATATTTGCCCAAAATATGTGTATTGTTTTTTTTTTTAAATCATAAACCATACTCAGTAGTCTTTTAAATTATATCTATAATTTACTTTTAATTTACTTTTCACCAATTTAAAAGACTGATGTGAGCACTCAAGGTAAAGTTTCTGCAAACAAACATCTATTTCGATAAGTTAGGCTTAGTAGCTTTATGACAATATATGAAACTATAAATCAATCCATTTTCTTCTCCTTATCCAATTCAGGGTCATGGGAACGGGGGATGCTTGAGCTTATCCCAGATGCCATGGAGAAGGAGGTAGGGGTAGACCCTGGATTCAACCCAAAACCTTCTTGCTGTGAGGCAACAATGCTAACCACTGTGCTGCCATTATATGAAACTATATGTATGCAACTATATTTGTAACATTTACAGACTATAATGTTAAATTTATACTAAACTATGTGTAGATACAGCATCAGATTTTTAATGTTTATTATAACATCTTTGCATAAACTGTAATAATAAATAATAAACAATAAAACCATCTTCAACTTTGTTCTTTCTATCCGTTTTGTCGCATTTATGCAAAATAGGAGCTGGGCGCTAAAGTCTCAAACCTTAGCTTTACTAAAGTGTACAAAAAAGATAGTAAATGAGGTTTACTATCTATCAGAATATATAGCTTCATTTAAAAACTAACGTATCGAAATTGTTCAATAAACTCAACTTCCGGATGATTTCAGTGACCTGTGCAATGAAACATTACATTGTATAGGGAGGAAGCAGATTGCCTGGGGGGGAAGTCTGCAGTAATTTCCCCTATTTGAAATGGTTTCGGGTAATTACATGAACCTTAATCTCCGATCTCCCTATTCACACAATAGTGTTTATGTAGCACTGTCTTCAGTGAACTAGTCTAAACAGTCAGCAGAGGAAGGTGAGATATGCAACAGCTTCATTAGGAGGTGCTGTCTTATAACCACAAACACTTACAGCACCTCATTTTCAAATGTCACTCGCTCAAGCAGCCTAGTGCACAAGAAAAATCGAGCAGCAGCAGCAGCTGAAGTCTCCCTGCTCACCTGCTGCAAAGCTCTACACTGTTCTTTGCTCCAGCTGTGCCATTATGGAGTAATTGTGTTTCAAGTCTGTTTCAGGTTTGGCCGCACTAGTAGCATTTAAGGCCTTTTTCTTTATTCACTTAGCTTTAATACTCGACAGCCGTTATTGTGTATCTGTATTTGCTTTTTTAACTTGACATTATTTACACCGCATTCTTGATGTTTCTGTCGCGGTGGCCCACCACTGCTGAATAAACAAAGACGAAACACATGCGTGCGGTGTCTACAGACAGAGGAGAGAGAAAGAGCGAGAAAGAGGCAGGAAATCCACAATTAATATCCTCAAGAAACAGCACAAGTCCTGTCAAGAAGAGCTATTCTCAGAGTGTGAGATATGTGGTGAAACAACACGAGCATCTGAAGGCGGTTGGGCTGCAACCCAGCTGCATCCTGATGACTTTAATAATCTATCATGCTCTCGGTTTTTCAGCAACCTCGAAAGTACACTGCTGCTGCTGCTTTCAGTGCCAAAAAAAAGGAAGTAAGAGGAACATGTGGCATTGAAGCAATGAAAGCCAACCGAAGATAACTACTTCCTCCTGTACAACTGTGGTTCATGACATCACCAGTAACTGCAGCGGCAGTGTGCGCCTTTCAAAACAAAAAAAAAGACTGTGACCCCTATTTCTTTTACGTGTAACCAGACAGGTTGCAAAATGCTGATGCTATATTTAGCTTCTTTGTGCGATTCATGCTGTCATGGGGCTCACATGACAGATTTGTTTTCACACGCTGATGCATATTTCAGTGCGGCAGCAGCTGCGGGTTATTTGAAGCTAACCTCCAGTAGTTCTTTACAGGTAGCAGGTTTCCGAGCTGATACACATGTGACAACTCTGGCTGATGAATCCAAAGAATAAGCCAGGTATTTACAGAGTGAGTCATCTGTTTAGTCAGTCTTGCCAAAGATCCATCTGCTCATCTTCACTTTCAGCATCAATGTTCTCGAGCAGCCTACTCACTCACCTTCACAGAGCCTGTTTACACTCCTTTAAAATGTGTTTTGGACAAGTGGACTAAAGCACTAAACACAACCTGCATTGCTCCTGAGGTGTTGCGGGGCACATTTGGTCTCTGTATGCTTTTAAATGTAAATCATAATTTGTCCTGAACTATTCCTAAGCAGGACAAAAGATAACATGTCACGGTGTCCATTCTTGCCTGCAGCTCATGAAGCATTTTGCTAAAAAATATGGAGCCTTGCTGGCAACAGACCTAGCTTTTAACCTTTGTTGTAAATGATAATCAATAACTGAACATGAATATAGGAGAATATCTTGGAGACACATGTGTAAACAACCATTCACTCCAGTCAACAGTCTCCATGGATGTTGTTTTGTGGGTTAAAACCAGCCATCTGGTCAGTCTAGTCAAATCCCATTGCAATGTGAACCAAGTACTACCTAATTTAACCAACAATCAATGCACTTTCAGTCTGAATAATGTCTTAATGTTAAGCAGACATTAAAAGTAAGAATTGTTTCAAAAATTCAAATCAATGTCTTTAAAAATTATATTGATATTTAATTTAGATGGGAAATGGTTGCAATGATGCAAACATTTGTTTGTGTGAGCTTCCAGAAAGTTGAAACCACTGTTCCCAGATTCTGGCAGGTCACCGTGGTGCTGTGGTTAGCACTGCTGCCTCATAAGAAGAAGTTTCTGTTTGCAGGTCGTTTGTAAGCTTTCAACGACCTGACAGAACATCTTTTCACGTTTCACTTTTCAACCAAATCTTGATGATGCTAAGATATCTGGCGAAGTTGTAAATGGGCTGTCCCACTCTGATCCAATAGCCAGAGATACAGTTAAAAACTGAGTCGAAACAGGGTAATCGACACACACGCCTATGCTCCTATGGGCAGCAAATGCAGATAGAAATAAGTGGGGAAAGTAAATGAAAGTGTAGTGACACAGAGGGACATTTGTGTATGTAATTACAGTCATGGGGCGATCGTGGCTCAAGAGTTGGGCATTCGTCTTGTAATCGGAAGGTTGCCGGTTCGAGCCCCGGCTCCGACAATCTCGGTCATTGTATCCTTGGGCAAGACACTTCACCCATTGCCTACTGGTGGTGGCCGGTGGCGCCAGTGTCCGGCAGCCTCACCTCTGTCAGTGCGCCCCAGGGTGGCTGTGGCTACAATGTAGCTTGCCATCACCAGTGTGTGAATGGGTGGATGACTGGATATGTAAAGCGCTTTGGGGTCCTTAGGGACTAGTAAAGCGCTATATAAATACAGGCCATTTACCATTTTTATTTTAATTGAACATACACAATGAAGCTAATTACCTGGATTTCAGTTATAATGGTAGTGAGCTACACACACAGTTACAGACAAGTAGGAGCACATGCTTTTCTCTGATGAGAATAATCAGACATATCTGCAGCTGCAGAGTGTATTTTAAAGCAGTCACAAAAAAAAAGAAATGTATTTGCAGCACTACAGAGGGAAGATCAACCTTCTGCTTCCTAAACAATAACAATATATGCAATCAGGACCTTAAACCAAAGATCTTCTTGGGTTTAGGGAAGTTTGAACTGCTTCTGCTAACTCCAGGTGAGTGTTACTGTTACAATGCTTGCATTCGCTCTCACCACTGTATTGTTTTTCGGCTTAACAAGCAGCTGTTTCCAGTCAAAGTTCTTTTTACACTGTACACAACACCAGATAACTACTGGGTTAAAGAGTAGCAGATAAACAAAGGGGCGAATACAGCAGGTAAAAACCGTGATACTTCCCTCGGGCAATTGAGAAGACTAAAAACAGAGGGGCTACTGGCGTTTCATCAGATAGCTTCTAAGACTTTAAGTAAATGATAACGGCGCTCTATAATGAGGTCACTGGGCAGCTCGGTGACGCATGTTCTCTCTGTGTCTGTGGGGTTCTCCCTAGGTACTCTGGCTTTCTATCGCCGTCCAAAGACATGCTTTGGACTTAATCCTAAACTGCTTGTATGTGTGAATCAGAGTGTGAATGGCTGTCTGTCTCTCAGTATCAGCCCTGCAATACACTGGTGAGCTGTCCACCCCTGGCCTGGAGCCTAATCTGGCTGTCATGTGACCCTAAACTGGTTTGGTGGAGGAAAATAGATGGATGAATGGATGTGTAATTATTCTTTTTCTTTGAATTCTTTCAAAAATAAAAAAATGAAGCAAAAATCTGATGCTGTGATAGCCGTAGCTAACAAGTTCATGATTGTCATACAGAAGAATCAGGAAGGTACAGCACATGGAACCTCACTCGGTTCGTTTGTGAGCCTTCGGTTTCACTAGATTAACAAACAGCTTATTATTAGCAACATGTTGAATAAACCCGGTTCATCAGATAAACAAAGAATGGATAAACAAGTTGAAAGGAATGGTTTGTTATGTTTCACATGCAGCCCTGGTTATTTAAATACTTGCGTTTGAATCATTAGTTCACTGCAGTTCCAAGGTGGCAATGCTGAGTGTTTGCTTAGATCATTATATTCCTTATATCATAGAAAGAAATGCCATGTGGATATGTTAACAAAGTCTTGGCTGAAAGTCTGGAACTTTTTGGGAATGAAAGAGAATAAGGAAGACATAAAATTGCTATTAATTATGGTGTTTGCAGGGGGAAAAAACATCTGTAATAACATTAAATTGAAGGGAAAGAATGATCAAAAAGTCCAGTATTGCAATTTAAATGCACTTTTACCTGCACAGATGGCTAGTTAAGAGCCTGTGCACTGGTGCAGAGTGCATTTAAGTGCATTAATACAAGCAGGAAAGAGAAAGAACAAAGACAGTAAGTACACATAAGGGAGATCAGTAAGCTCACACTCTCATACTGTGAGTGATAATCAGCTCTCCTCTTGGTACGAGTCAGTGTCAGAGAACAGTACATTTCATGTAGCTCTCCTTTCACTGTGAAAGCCACTTAGGAGAGCCTTTTATCTGACTGCTGAACATGGACTACCGACCGCATCTGTGTTATTGACACAATTAGCGCGCAATTTAGAAATGTAAGTCAATCCGAATCAGTTCATCATTTTTAAGATGACAAACATTCTTTACCTTTGGTCTCTGAAATAAGAGATTTTGCAGCTTATCTGTGCTGCGAAAGCACATTCAGTGGTTGATAAGACAAGAAAAGTTGTACATATTAATACATTGTAACAAGGCTCATGGGTCTGCAGAGAAACTTCAAAAACAAAAACAACAATCTTTGCATGTCTGCTAAAAAGGCTTTACTTAAAACATATGGTACAGTGGGTGACTCTATATTGATCTACTAATTTTAGGAACTACAGTATGATATGCAAAGGACAGGATTTCCTTAGCTTTAAGGCAGCACCTTATTTGAATACTGCACTTTTTGCAAGTCAAATTCTCAAAATGCTTGTGCCTTTTTATGCAGATTGTGGCAATGCAGTCACTGTAACTCTCAAAGCAGCTGTTGTCTGAGACGTACATCTTGAAAGTGGAAGGGAAGATGTTTTCATTTTACATGAAATCAAATATTTATCACAGCTTCGAAACAAAAGTCGGCTGTGCAAAAGAAAGCCTTTACAATAGCGAAAAGAGAGACATAAGGCAACAGGACACTGTGCTCCCTGCACGCTGTAAAAAGCATATTCTTTGCACTACACAATGTGTGTAATGTGTGAGCAATGAGTGAGTAATGTGTGAAAGGCAACGGGAAAAGAAAGAAATGCCTCGTGTACTTACAGTGTTCTTCTGGCAAATTATCTCCTGAAAGAAGAAAAGAGAGAAATCCATTTAGAAATTCATCATTAGCATTTTCTCCGAGGCAATTTAAGTTAGATACGATGTTACTGAATGACACTTCAATTCAGTACACCATACCTGAGCTACAAACACTTTGTGAGGACGACTTGTATTTGTGGATATTTGTTGATTTCCCAACAGCTGATTAATATTTCTAGTAAACTGTGATGACCTATAGGATGACTTTAGATGAAACAATTACTTGTTTGTACATGGAGAAGTATATGGCAGTGAAAGGAAGCATAATCAACAAGTGTACACTGAGACTTAGTATATATACAGGGAGTGCAGAATTATTAGGCAAATGTTGTCCTACTCCAAGCTGTATAGGCTCAAAAGCCTACTACCAATTAAGCATATTAGGTGATGTGCATCTCTGTAATGAGAAGGGGTGTGGTCTAATGACATCAACACCCTATATCAGGTGTGCATAATTATTAGGCAACGTCCTTTCCTTTGGCAAAATGGGTCAAAAGAAGGACTTGACAGGCTCAGAAAAGTCAAAAATAGTGAGATATCTTGCAGAGGGATGCAGCAGTCTCAAAATTGCAAAGCTTCTGAAGCGTGATCATCGAACAATCAAGCGTTTCATTCAAAATAGTCAACAGGGTCGCAAGAAGCGTGTGGAAAAACCAAGGCGCAAAATAACTGCCCATGAACTGAGAAAAGTCAAGCGTGCAGCTGCCAAGATGCCACTTGCCACCAGTTTGGCCATATTTCAGAGCTGCAACATCACTGGAGTGCCCAAAAGCACAAGGTGTGCAATACTCAGAGACATGGCCAAGGTAAGAAAGGCTGAAAGACGACCACCACTGAACAAGACACACAAGCTGAAACGTCAAGACTGGGCCAAGAAATATCTCAAGACTGATTTTTCTAAGGTTTTATGGACTGATGAAATGAGAGTGAGTCTTGATGGGCCAGATGGATGGACCCGTGGCTGGATTGGTAAAGGGCAGAGAGCTCCAGTCCGACTCAGACGCCAGAGAGGTGGAGGTGGAGTACTGGTTTGGGCTGGTATCATCAAAGATGAGCTTGTGGGGCCTTTTTGGGTTGAGGATGGAGTCAAGCTCAACTCCCAGTCCTACTGCCAGTTTCTGGAAGACACCTTCTTCAAGCAGTGGTACAGGAAGAAGTCTGCATCCTTCAAGAAAAACATGATTTTCATGCAGGACAATGCTCCATCACACGCGTCCAAGTACTCCACAGCGTGGCTGGCAAGAAAGGGTATAAAAGAAGAAAAACTAATGACATGGCCTCCTTGTTCACCTGATCTGAACCCCATTGAGAACCTGTGGTCCATCATCAAATGTGAGATTTACAAGGAGGGAAAACAGTACACCTCTCTGAACAGTGTCTGGGAGGCTGTGGTTGCTGCTGCACGCAATGTTGATGGTGAACAGATCAAAACACTGACAGAATCCATGGATGGCAGGCTTTTGAGTGTCCTTGCAAAGAAAGGTGGCTATATTGGTCGCTGATTTGTTTTTGTTTTGTTTTTGAATGTCAGAAATGTATATTTGTGAATGTGGAGATGTTATATTGGTGTCACTGGTAAAAATAAATAATTGAAATGGGTATATATTTGTTTTTTGGTAAGTTGCCTAATAATTATGCACACACAGATATCCCCCTAAAATAGCTAAAACTAAAAACAAACTAAAAACTACTTCCAAAAACATTCAGCTTTGATATTAATGAGTTTTTTGGGTTCATTGAGAACATGGTTGTTGTTCAATAATAAAATTATTCCTCAAAGATACAACTTGCCTAATAATTCTGCACTCCCAGTAGATTTTTTTTAGGATTTTTTTTTCATGATCGCCATTGTTTAAAGAAAAAAACTGAGTATAAAAAAAGCTGCCTTTAAAACAATTTGGTGGCCTGATAGAGATCTGAGGAAACTGCCTAAGTGAATTCTTTCAAAGCATGGTGAGAACAAGTTAACCCACAGCCAGCTAGACGGGTGGGCACCATGGCAGACCACAGAACAAAAAACCCCTCCCAGATACCACCAGGAGCAGGAAAGAACGTCATTTGAAACAATTTTCTTGCCATAAAAAGCAGACATAATACAGCTGTGAATGTCAGCTTTTTATGTTGTGTTTATTTTAAGACACGCCTCCCCTGACTGTGCAGGCTGTGCATTATGGGTCGACTCTACAGTTTGTTTTCTGGCTCATGACCCTTGTCACCACAATACTCCTCCCACTAGACTAACTAAAAGAAAAGCGTCAGTGTTCTTCTGCTGCAAGTTGCCTACAGCAGGCGATTTTAAAATGTGTTCTGCGTGGGCCTCAGACGGTTTGAACCATGCCTTTGTCTGCAGTACAGAAACTACAAGACTCACACCATTGTTACATGCTGAAGTAGTCTGACATTTATGGTAAATAAACACAGCTTTGGTCAATACATATTGCTAGTAGGGATTGAGTAGTATGCACTTTATTGTTACCTGCAAGCACTTTCCAGTGTAAAACTTCCAGTGTATTTAATTATCTAAATTGTTGCTGAGGAATTTGCTGTTGCTTTGTGGCGCTCATAAAAATATTAAAAAATAAATCTCTAAACCTCAGCAGCAATGTGGCTTTCTAAAAATCATAAACAAGACCACAAAAACAAACAAACAACATTTTTTGAGCAATTTTAATCAACACTTGGTTCCATTACTTCAAGTTTATAACAAGAAGCAGTTCAACCTCCTCCAGGCCAGCTCGTCCTTTGGGCATTTTGTATGGAAATTGTACAGTATATTGTATACAGTCATTTTTTTTTTCTTTGTAAATGGACTTTAAGCAGTATGAACTTTTTTGCACGATGACCAGAGTAATACACATCTACATCTTCAGCAATTTGTGATGTGTGTAAAAGTGTGCATTGTGTCCGCAATACCCACCACACTTGTAAGTATCATAGTTTCCAAAGTTATAAGGTCTTTTTAATTTTAGAGCAATAAATCATTAGGTTGACCTCGAAGACCTTGGTGGATGTAAGCCAAATTTTAATGGATTGTTAACGTGACCCCTCTCTACACCCCTACAAAGTTCTAATAGAATTAATTCCAAACTTCTTGAGCACGCTCACAAGCATGCACTCACACAAATGCTACCGAAAACATAACCTCCTTGTTGGAGGTAATTAGCAGCAGAGCTAACTGTAGGAACAACATTAGTGTTTATACCCTATTAACGGTCACTGGCATGAGCGCCATGTCTTGGTTGGACCTGTGCTTCATTCTGCAGGATAGTTGGGCACCTTGTGTTGCCCCTGTCTTTCTCACTGTCTTTCTGCATTAACAATGTCAATGTTAAATAAGTAATCTATTTAAAAAGAAATAAAAAATGCAAGGTTTTTATTATAAAATTGGAAAAGTTACCCAAAATTTTCTACCCTTGAATAAAATCCTACACTCAGACCAACACGGTGTTTGAGGGCACAATCTCATTTCTCAAAACAACCGAACAAGAAGGCCGCTAACTGGGTTTTTGGAAGGATTGTCGAAATTGACTTTTAGGGTATAAAATTTTTAGATTTTCAGCTGTGATGCTGCCTGTGCTGAGAGTATTTTTAACAAAGAAGCCTGAGCTGCTCTGAGGCACAAATATATCAGCATATATTGGCTTCTGTTCATGATGGCGGCTTACCTGCAGAGACTGGAGAGCATCAGAGTTAGTGTCGCAGTACAAGATGATGTTGTTGGCCATGCTGAAGCTTTCTCTCACTCCCAGGTGGTAGAAGAGCGAAGGCTGCCGGAAGGCATCTGTCATCTCCACCACAGCTATGTCTGATGATAAAAGAGAGGTGTACGTGTTATAGTGTGGTTCAGGAGTGGAGCACAACTAGCTTTCTTTGGGTTCTGCAAGTACAAGTAAATACACACCATTCTTAGAATATCATAAGCTGTAATAATGCAGTTGCATAGTACAGGCAGAAATATCTTTTACATCCATTACCCAACCAAGGATGTTAATTCACTGCTGTAACAGCCTCCCTCTTCTGTTTTTGACCACATTTTGGAATCTGGCTACAAATATGTGGTCCCATCCATCCATTCCTTTACCTTTTTAGAAATGCCTTAACCCCAACCTTTTTTAAATTTTCTTTGTGAAACAGATTTTAACAATGTTTATTAGAATCTCACGACCAGTTTGGTAACCTAATGTCACAATTTCAACTCAAAAATCAACTGATTGAAAACTCATTGTCTGATAATTGATCAAAGCCATTCAAGCCACCAGTTCTAAATCCACCCGCCACCCCCAATATTGACCCTTATCTGAATAAATCTCATTAAGATGTTATTTGGCTACAACTAAACTGCCCATTGGGGATCTTTAACACCAACTTTGTCTGCTGTTGCTCTGGGAGAGACATGGATACAGCTCAGTGGTTATTAGTGATCGGCACGGCTGTTATTCATGCTGTTATCAGCTACCGATTTGCATGTCAGTGTTAAGTTATCTGCAAGCTGAAAAACAGATATCATGAGATGAAGGTAGCTTTACTCCTTTTTTGTCCAGTACACTCAATAATCAATAATGCACCATCTGCAGTAGGACTCAGCAATACTATCTGGGTCAACAGGTCAAGCAAATATTTCCACTCAAGCAAGCAGGTCATCTAGTAAAGAGTTCCTAAGGTTAATGTCCTGTGCAACAGGCTGTGCTGTTATGCAACTGTAAGCACTGGACTTTCACCAAAGCTCTCACTCACTGGTCGGCCCCTGCAGCGAACAAATCTTTGTATGACGCTGTCAGTTATGGTGGGCATGCAACATTAAACATGCTCATCAGGATTTGGAATAAACATGATGGTGTTTTGCAGACCCACACACGAGGTAGGGTGGTACTACACGTTGTTTCCAAGGTCGCCCTGAGCAACGGATAACAACAAAAGCAAATCAGCCCGATGGCTATGCTCCAGTTATGACAAAAGAGCTCAGAGCTACGGAGATAAAGCTGCACCCTGGTTTTTCATCAACTCCAACTCTCCAACTCTTTTGTGTCAACGAAAACATTACACGGAGCTGAAGAGCAGATATTGTGCGACTCTGATGGTCAAATCTTTTACCTCTAATGGGTCTGTTCAAAAGCTGGGATAGTCCCCCCCTCCACCATCACGACCTTGAATTCGATTTTCAAACTGGTGCTCAAGCTAATGGACCACTACTAGAGGAAATCACAAACACATTCAGTCATTCAGCTCAAGATGCTGTCAGATTATGGGTGGCTCAGTTGTGGAAGAGGAAGCATGACAAGTGGATGACACATCAAAGATTAGTGCTATTATTAATGCTTCCACTGGTTTTTGAAAGATACCAGTTAGTCAAGGTACCATGCAACTGTAGAGACGACTGCTCTCCTTTTAAGTCTACAGTTTAGGAATAGACTACAATCTGAAATGATATCACAGAAATGATGAGTCGGCCTTGACCTTTTCTTTAAGTATTAAAAGCAAATATTTTCAGCGTGGTGACATTACTATAAATTAAAAAAGAATAAATCATACATATGCTTTGAAAGATTTTGTCTCCACTATGTTAAAAAGCTGAGAACAATTAAACGATTACAAAGGCAACAGCCAATTTTGGTGCTGGTATAGCCAGCCGACACCCGTACTGAGACTTCCTGTTCTGTCTGACAGTGATTGTTTACAAATCATCGCCTGATTGATTTTCACCAAATCCAGTCCTTATTTTAGACATGCAATTAAAAAAGGATTGGTTAATACAGCTCACACTATGAGTGGTCTACAAGTAGAAACCAGAAAGTTTCAAATACCAAAAGTCTTTCCACCAGAATCTGTTGATATGTGTTGATGTGCAGAAATCTGAGTACAATCTACAAACTAACTGTGATTCACAGCAGATGATCAGAAACAAGGCTCCGAATGAAAGCTAGTGTTGCTAATGTGCAGTGAAGTGGCAACTTTTAAGATGTAACACCTATAACTGGCAGCTAACTAAGCTCTTATCGCAGCTTCTTGCATTAACATTTTTAAATGCAACATGATTTCTCTTTAAGCGTTATTTTCACCAGGAAGTAAAACTCCTGAGATACAGTGATAGCGTCCTGGGCCAAGAAGGGCAGCACAAATCCATCATGTTTTCTGAATGGCACAAGAAAATGGAGCTTGTTAAGCTGAAGCAGCTTTACAAAATGCATTGCGTGCAATCAAAGCCACTGACACAACCCAATCTATCAAAGCAAATTACTCAAAGCAAGCAAGTGAAGGCTCATAATTTGAATGTGCAGTTAAACATCAAGCAGCCAACATGACACTTGGGAGAGAAGCATATCAGAGATTGGCCGATTGCAGCACTGAAGGGGTTTCATCAGGGCCATGCAGCTCCTCGCACTCATCATCAGAACATGCAAATTCAACCAGGAAGCAGGTACTTGTTGGCCTCAAAGGTTCTCATCATTAAACCCTTCGTTCACACCAGGGAAAAAAAAGCCTCATATTTTCATCCCATCAGAGTACCGTAGCCGTAGGACAGCATTTTAAGCTCTATGGCTTCTGTGCAACGATGTGGAATTTCAAGAGGGATTTCTTCTCTGGATGAGCAGCGTCTTCACATCGGGATGCTGCTCGCTGATTAAATGAAACTCATGTTTCGCTCTCTAACTTGCGAGGCAGACGGGGAAGGTACACTTTAATCCTAGCTAAGATTAACAGCCAGTTGTCAGTTCTGCATCCCTGATGCACTCATGCGACTATCACACATAGCATTTAGAACATTCAGACATAATTAAATATTGGTCTATTGGATTTACTCATTGTTAGCAAGACAAATAGGTTGCTCACCACGGCTGATTTTTACACAATCCCAAACAATCCTGGGCATATACATGATAAACGGCTGTTTAGATTCTTCTTCTCTCAACTATGCATACAAGGTGCTGCTGAGTGTCAACATCCAGACGGCACAGGTTGTCTGCTGAATAAAACATAAGCTTGTCTTGTTTTTCCACCTGCAGCAGGCTCCCATCAATATTACATCTGAATGAGATCTTAATGCAAACAGGCCATAAAAATGCATTAGTATAATATAACTCACAGAAATATGAAGCAGCAGTGACTTGGGTGGGATAATTTTGCTTTGCGCTGCTTGGAAATTTCACCTGTTTCACAGAAATGGGTCTGAACAAAAAACATGTTTGCTGTTTGCTACACAGAAGGGCTAAAAAGTGATGAATAACAGCATATGGCGTTCGCATATGATGGAAAAAAAAAAAACAGGCCAAAGTGAGTCTTGTTGTGCCCACAGAGTGAGGAAGAGCAATCAATTCTCGTAAATGTTTTGTATTTATAACACTTGACTAGCAGCATATGATGTTGTCAGTGCTTATTTCAGTCTAGTCTAATAATAGAGAACGCACTCTAGGTTTTACTTAGAAGCTGCTTATAATGGCGGTTACAAACTACCCTCTGATTTTAAATTCCAAAAATGAAAGCAACTGTTTGTTTGTGTCCTGCTTGAGCGGTTAAATCTGTCTACTCATGCAAACATTATTTTTTGTGTTCAGTTGGTAACCGATTCAATACTGATAACGTGCAACATCGCAGCAGGGATGTGTTCAGGAGTATTCTTGGGCTAAATTTTGATGTGGGGTGAACACAGTGGGTGGTAACAGTCACCACAGGCACACAACACAATCACTGACTATCCTGTAAATGGTTGGGGCATTGATTACTGCTTGCTCACTGTCATGTCAATGCAGCGCCATAACCATTTATATTGGAACTTGAGGTCTACCTCACTCTCTGCCGTCTTCTTCAACACAGTAAATGTCATTTCTCAGACCCCAACCCCAAAACAAAACACTTCACTGGATTGAAGAAGAGTAGAAGAAGGTAAAAGATAAAACAAAGGGATCGCAGAGGTTTTCTTGGGGAACTCGCTTCTTTAAAAAAAAATTAAAAAACTGTTAAAGCAATCTCCCTCAGTACCATCTGGTAATTCTTGCTCTGCAGCTTTGATGCTTCACAGAGGTACTTCTTGAGATCTCCAGCCCTGCAGGTCATGCTGCATGTGACAGGTCATAAAACCTGGGAAGTGCACAACAAGCTAGAACAGCAAAGTAAAGCATGCAACAGCTGCAATATCCCATGTTTAAACTGCCTGTAAGCGTTAACGTTCCCTTTTTATCACAATATCTCTCTACATTTGTTGGTCTTACAGGAATGCATTTTAACAGCACAGTCACCTCTTTAAATCCTAATAATCTTCTGAACTTTGACAACAATTAAAAAAGCTTAATATAAGCAAAGTTTGTTTAGAAAAAGCCCATTAGTCTTAAAGGCATGGCACGGCTTACATAAACAAAGCTTGAGTGAAAAAAACTATCTGATTGCATCTTATTCTGTATTGTAAAGCACTTTGTGAATTTTGTTCTTGAAAAGTGATAAATAATAAATAAACCTTCAGTCTGTTCACTGTGGTAGAATCTTCTTGCAATGGTGGAAGACAGAATGTATATTTTTAATAGAAGTTAGGGCAGCAGGGTGGTGCAGTGGTTAGCATTGTTACATCACAGCAATCCACCAGCTAAAGCCTTTGAAGTTTGCATACTCTCCCTGTGTTTGCATGGGTTCTCTCTGGATACTCTGACTGTCTCCCAGCCCAAGACATACATTGGGGTCGGCTTAATTAGCAATTCTAAATTGCCCATAGGTGTGAAAGTAAGAGTGATGGTTGTCTTTATCAGCCTTGTGGCAGACTGGCAACCTGTCTAGGGTGTATCCCGCCTCTCATCCTAACAGCTAGCACAGTTCCCGCCCCTTCGGCGAAACTGAAGCGGAAGAAGATTGGCGGAAGGATGATAGAAATGTGCAACTCTTCCCTTTCATGAACAGCTAGCTTACTTCCTCTTTTAATTCTTGCTGGTTCCAAGGAAGGCTTGGTTTCCCAGTACAGTTAATGATGCAATTACCGGTACTAAAAAGCAATGACAGCACAAATACTTTCAAGTAGCTTTTAAATTGCAATGTTAAAAGCATTTTGGCTAGTGTGGTACATTTTGTAATTGTGGATATTGTGGATGACATTACACAAGGAAACAGAGAACAATGGTAATCTGCCCTCACAGGAAAGTTGGAAAGTCAGTACTGGAAAGTGTTGCCTCTGCCTACTATACAGAATCCATAGCTCAGAGTCACAGACCCATTGCAACAACAGCGCAGGGACTTATAATCCTTATAAATATTAAAAATATTAAAAACAAAAGAAGTTCCAGATTCCAATTCATTGGAAGTGTTTCAGCTCGCAGGTTCATAGTAGGCTTTTTAAACCACATTAAGGACAATGATTCCAAATTTCAAAAGGCTGATAAACACAGCGACTGCATTTCAATAGCACAGGCTATGAATGTTTGTGAAGCGTGTTCAGATGCCATGATTACTTACCAATGCAACAGCAGAGTGAAACGCATGCCAATACAGCAGCAGACCTGCCAACATAGTGTTGACAGAAGGCTTCGTGAAGCCTGCAGAGGAGTTACTTGAGACTCCTCGTCACCCTTTTCGCATACAGTGGCACCTTTTCACCGCATCTGGTGTTTTACAATCACCTGGTATCACCAGTAAACTGAAATCTGTCTACATCAGTGAGAGATAAGACATGCAGAAAAAAATGTAAAAAAGAAATGAAGAGTAAAACATTCATACTGATGCCCTGATAATCCTGCTACACCTCCTACAGTTGGACCTGCCAGTGTGGACCAAAAGTAAATTGATTCCCTCGCCTACTGCTCAAAGCAGAGGAGGGAAAATAATTCAATACTCTGAACATACTCTCTCACAGTGTTTGACTCTCAGCAGCACTCGGCCTGGTGCTGTAGGTTCATCGGGCCTCAGGTGAGCAGCTCGGAGTGGAGGGCTTCGAATTTACTGGAGACTGTTCTGGTGTCTGTTGGCTTCTCTTTATGGATCCTTCCCAGCACTCTCCAGAGATCCTCCATCAGCTCCACATGCTCTTTCTGAAGAGGAGCTGGGGGATCAGCTCCATCTAAAATATTATGATCTAAAAAGCTCTGGAGCATTTTCACATGGATCTGGATCATTTCAGCAAAGCAGAGTCTCTTGTCTCTACTAGAGAGCACATGATTGGACACAGAGAAATCTATTTTAATGAGATCAGGTTGTGGAGAAAAATAAACAATTGCTACCAGCAGCCTAAAATCATAAGCTATAAACAATACTGAGAGATTGTGTTTCAGCTATGCTATACATCCCTACAGCTGTAGATTAAGGTGACCTGTTTTGCTCACTCCCAGCTACATAATTTTATTTTGGACTCTTACAGGAACAGATTTGCATGATTCCCTACAACAAGCCCTCCCTCTAAGCTAACTTTCTTCTGATAGATTTGCCCCTTACAAACTTAAGGTGTGAACATCAGATGGATAGGGCTGCTGTGCTCAAAGCCAAAACTCAATAAAGTGAGCTCTGTGTATAGATATATAGATTAAATAATTAATGATTTATCAAGGCAGCTACAGATACAACATGTAAAACTAAAACATTAAATCTACATACATCAAACAAGTACTGGTGGCTTTCTAGAAGGAAAAAATGTACATTTCAAGTGCTGATTTACAAGGACTACAACACTTTTTAAATGTATATTAAAGCTGGATTGCAAAACTTGACTCTTTATTTGAACTTAGAAGTGAAGATTTGAAAATGAACTTCTTAACGCAGTCAGCATCACGCTTCAGTTCACATCAGTTGTCAGAAGGTGAAGGGTGAACTACATCAGATCCCAGGACAGCTGTGTGCAAAGTCTGACCCATTCTTCTTGAATAATCTTTCCGAATCATTATCTGAACCTCCCACTGTATTTCAGAGCTTTAAATATTTACTGCTGATAACTACTGAACCTCTGTAGCCACTTCATAAAATGTGTACATCATTAGAAAAAAAATTGCTGCCCAGAAATCTGCCCAAAAATGAAGGATATCGTTAATAATCATTAAAGATATTGATCTATAAATCAAATTAAAGGTGAATAAATGTGAATATTGGTATCTATCTAATCCCAAAGATGCTGTATAAGCTTGTACTGGCACATTGGAAACTTTAGTAAGTTGCAATGCAAGAGTGATTTCAGTTCACCACAACTGTTCCATTACATTTCATGCGTCCTACGTCATCTAGCTGGGAAAGAGGAGGATACAGTGTTTGCATGTGTTGGTATGTGACCTTACTTTGACCTGATAATATTCCATATTTATGAAAATGCCGTTGACTTGTCATGATTGAAGAAATGCGATTACTGTAGCGGTTTATGCCTCGGTCACTCACGGACCAACGGCAAGTTTGACTCTACCAAGAGAGATAGTAACAGCGCTGGCACAGTGAATAACGCTTCGTTACCATCTATTACATAACAGCTACATATAAGAAGTTGTAACCATAGCGACTGTGAGGAAAACTGCTTTGAGTGATGTTAGTGAACCGAAGCCATCAGTGTGCATAGTAGTTGAGGTTTTTTCCCCAGTATGTCTAATGGAAAACAAGGTAAACAGACTCGTATTAGTGGAGCAAAGTGCAGCTGGAGTTTTACCCTGAAGCCCATTCTACACAGAGGACAGGCAGATGCTTAGAAATATCATCTCCATGCTGCTCTGGAAATATCCCTTGAAAAGGAACCTTCGAGAGCATAAAGTCCAAACAGTCTGCCAACTTTCCAGGAACAGCAGAGGATGCTTGTGGTGCTCTTGCATGCTGGGCCAGTGTGATGTTTACCTCTGGTGTTTCAAACGATGTTTAGCTCTTTAGCTGTCAGGTTGCAGAGACAAACAGGATTAAAAGCTTCAGACTTGTTTATTTGGTGTCATACAAAAGGTATTGCTCAACGAATTACTGCAGTTAACCGTGTTCTCAGACCACAAGTGTTTATACTGTAGCCGTTCTGAGCTGCCACACCTAAACGCAGTATATAAAAAAAAGGAACTTTTGTACTGCGTTTCTCTGTAAACTTTTATTTTGATCTGTCTATTGCCTAAAGGCACCATTGAGCTACACAGTGTGTTTTAGATTTTTATCTTTTATGCTAAGCACATTGAGTTTACATGCAATGAAATGCGCAATATAAACATGACTGACACTGACAGAGACAAAAAGCTCCAGAGGGGTGTTCTGTGCTACAGATCAAATAAACAGGGGATCACAATGGCGTGTTATAAACTGAAAACTTGGCTTGAGTTGATGAAACAGATAAAAATAATGAGTTATTGAATTTAGTTTAAGTTTGATTAGGTTTTCTTGTTTTGGTGTCTTTTTGTTTTAAGTCCAATTTATCGTATTTGTTTGTTTTTCCCGTTTTTTTTTATTGTATTTATTTTACTGATCTATGGTTTTGTAAAGCACTGTGGCCACCCTTGTTGCTTACGAATCTCATAATCAAAATTTATATTGACATTAAAAGAAACCTTTCATGATTTTCTTATTTTACGTATTACACACCCAGGATCTCCTTTTTCGTTTGGATACCTTAGTATGGTTATCTCATACATAACCATACTAAGGCAGCCAATCAGATGACAGTTGGCCTAAAAGGAGGCTGGACTTACGGGAGACAGTGGACACAAGGAATGACAAATGAATGGATTGTTAATGATGCAAAGCTGATCTATTTCCATATAAGAGCATAGCTTCAAATAAGTGAAATGGATCCATTATAGGAACTTACAAACAACTCCACACTAATTGCTTTTTAGTTTTCCTGTATGAAGCACTAAAATAAAAATTTTAAAAAATTAGCTGCGTTTATATGTGAAAATGAAGTTTTCACAAATGAACTCCACAAGTTGTTGAATCCTGTAGTAATTTGTTTCTCATATACAACAGATAGCCATCATTCTCACTATTGTAAGTAGTCTGTTGGGTGTGGTGGAGGGTTCAGCACACCCACTGAATTCATGTGATTACTTGCACTACACTCATATGGGTGTAATTAGACATTACACAGAGTTTGAAGAAAACTAAGCTATCGACCAGCTCCTATCTGACTGTGCTGGTTAGTGGTCTTACACGCATCTTTGCTGAGTAATCGAGAGATTTCAGAGTTGAAGTGCAGGTGTAAAAAATCAGCTTTAAAAGTGATGCACAATTCCAGGTAGTAACAAGGCAGTGCAAGTTAGTTCCTTAGGGAGTCTCCATTAGTCACATGGAATAAAATTTTTACAAGTTTATTTTTATTCTTTTGTTTATTCTTGCAGGAGAATACAGAAAAACTGCCTTTTTTCCTCAAAATAAACCCCTAATACTGGTGAAAAAAGACCATTCAAGTCTTTCTGCTAAGCTTTTCTGTTTACAAATACATTTCTTCTCCCACAGGAGAATATGGGACATATGAATGGATATTCAGTCATCTGACACCTCACCTAGCAGCAAGAGATTAATGTTCCCTTTATTTTTAGACCCATGTGCTTGAAAGAAACAACCCAGAAAAAAAGATCATGATGCAGGAAATGAGACCCGCCTGCCAGTCGCACGACTCTCCTGGCAGTCAGCTCCTCTTTACCTTTGCTCCACTTTGTTGCCTTTTCACTCACTGAGATATTTTACAAACCACAGTGCAATGGCCCCCGAAGGGAAAACAGCTGAGAACAGAATGTGAATTCATCTACCGCTGACAAGCACGCTGGGAGAGACCTGTGCTGCAGTGCAAGCTGTCCCGACATGCCTACTTGATGTACTTCCTTGCTGTTGTTCAGTGAAACAGAATCATGTTATTGTCTGGTAAACAATTCCACTTTATCTCACTTGCTTCGCGTGACAGGACTGAGGAACTGTTGTGGTTGTTTGCAGAGTGTTGCATGGAAATAAAACGGCACCAGGCAGAAATTAGTGTATAAATACACCTGAAGACCTGGAAAAGTGAACTAGATAAGAAATTTTCCATCTGAAACAGCAGAAACATCAGACACCAGCACGACTGATAAACATTTCCTGACATGATTTCTTGGTATTTTTAGACCTATTCTTGAAAATGTTAAGGGTTCCTGCATTTTTTCCTTTTTTAAACTGGAGATATCAGGGGTATGACATCACATGTACTGGTTTTGAAGGACTGGAAGGAAACTTTAAAACCTTTTGGGTGCATACTGAGATACTTTGTCTAATTTCACATGGGCCACTATTATTTTATGCAAATATTCATGCACAATGCCTTTATACAATTAAAAAAAAGAAAAAAGACAAATTTAACCCAGCAGCTGCCCACTTCGCCTGTTGTTACATGAAGTTGCTGAATGTTATTTACTTTCTACGGTGTCTGGTAGTCACTTCACTGCTAATCGATGCCTGTGTGGAAACCCCTTAAGACTCATTGGAAGTAGTAACATTCATTAGTGTTGGTTTCAGTTGTGTTTAGATATTAATCGTGGATGTGCAATGTGGTTTCCAGTGTTTGTTTACCCAAGACCAGTGTTAAGGTTTAGCCAGCTACAGGTCATCACAACTAAGCCTTCAGTAGTGATTAATCATGTTCAGCTGTGGCTTTGCAGTGACTGTTGAATGGTAATGGGCTGAGCGTCGGTTCTCAAAGTAAAAATGCCTTGTTGGTGCCAGAGGTCAGAGGAGAACAGCCAGACTTCTATAAGCTGATAGGAAGGCAACAGGAACTCATATAACGACTTGTTACGACAAAAGTCTGCAGAAGAGCATCTTTGAATGCACAGCACAGAAAACCGAGGCTACAATTTGCATGAATTCAACAAAATTGGAGCACAGAATATTGAAAAAAAATTATCTGATCTGAGGAGTCAGTATTTCTGCTACACCATTCAGATGTTAGGGTCAGAATCAGGTGTAAATAACAAAAAAAGCACAGATCCATCTTGTTTTGTATCAACAGTTGGTTGATTAGAGCAGGGCGATAGGACCAAAAATATTTATCACGATATACAGTTGAAAATTTGCGATAACGATATAACTGATGATTTAATTGACACTAGACAAAATACTTTACGACTCCACGACTTTATTAGTGTAAAAAAAACAAAACATCAATGTATTTTCACTTAAACAAGCAGCTGTTTTTATGTGCATTAAAGTTATATAAAAATTTAACAGTGCAAATGCAAATTCCTTGCTGATAGTTTAACCAAAAGGCATTTCCAGTGGAAATTGGCCGACATATCCTCAGCATAACCATGTATAACATCCACAAAACTTAAAAAGAGGTTATACACACACAACACGGTAATATTATGTTGAAGCACAGTACGTATCACTCTGCGAGGCGCCTGCCTACGATAGCCGTAATGCTCCAACAATCCATCAAGCGGTGCGGGTTCGTAGCTTAGCAAAGTCGTACTGAAACATGTGTACGACATAAAATTGTTTCGAGGTCAGTAAACACAACCAGAATTCATACATAAGGCACACAGGATTATAAGGGGCACTGTTGATTTTCAGAAAAATCAAAGGATTGATTTTAAGTGTGCCGTATTTTCCAAAAAACACGGTAATAATGACGGCCCGCTAGCATGCTCTACCAGAAATAGTGCTTTGTTGTGTATCTGACGGACCAAAGCTAAACCAGTTCCACACCACTGAAGTTGCAGTATTTTTACAAACCAGTTCTGGTTCATCCGTTTCATTCAACAATCCGCTTTTGCCCTTCTTATTCTCTATCGCTGTCATGTGCTAATGAAAACAAAGGCACTGCGCATGCGTGTTTTACCCATATTCTATCACCATATTTCATTTTCTTATCGTTGCCCAACATTATACCGGTATTACCGTGAACGGTATGATATGGCCCAGCCCTACACTGCATAATATAAAATAATAAGAAAATGATATTAAAATATAAAGACTTCAAGTAATTTTTCTTGTAAGATGTGGGTGGCATCCTCGAGCTAGACTAGATATGAAACTCAAATTAAATATGGAAATTAAAAAAACTTTACCGTTGTCTTTACAGAAACACCTCTTGACTCTAATATATGCGCACAATTTTTTTTGTTTTTTTTTTAAACTGCCAACAAAAACTATTTTCTTTCACGCAAAAACACCCATGCAGTTTTGCATACATGCTGTGACCTTTGCGGTGGGTATGCAGAATCAAAACAAACCAGACAAAAGCTGCATACTGCATGTGAGAAAAGCAACTGCAAAGACAGATGAGTAAAACACACCTCCGCCGGAGCCTGGTTACAGCGTTATTATTAGACTCTGTATTGTGAACTTGTTGCATGCTGCCAAAGGTTTTCTAGTTGGAAAAAAAATAATGTAATAACAGCTGTTCTACTAGAGAAAAGAAACCACTGGTATCAAACCCACCCCCAAAAATCAAATAAATGCAAAATACAACCAGACTATTCTCATAGCTCTTAGGCTGTTCACTGCCTTATCATGATACTCAAACTGATAAGACAGAGTTCCCTGTCACGCACCATTGGTTTCTAAAGACAACCCTACCCACTCCTGCTGCATTTCACCTCAAATGAACCCTGATGAATCCAAATGGGAGCTTTGATATTCGGCTACTCCACCTCCTGTCCTATTTCTGGTGATCACTTCTGAGATATAAGCAGGATTTTATACAGCACTTACACTTATTCCAGCTGATAATACTGCATAGAAGGATGTGGGGTATAGTCATTGTCATGCATGTAAAGAAGAAGCTGCTTTTGATTCTGAACTAGCCTTTCCTTCCTTCCTTGAAAAGAAAAGAAAAAAACTTGTTAAAAAGCATTTGCACTTCTGCCTGGAATCTCCCACAGAGGTGAAGGCAGTCCTCCCCAGAGGCCAGCAAATGGCCCCTA